ACTGTCCTTTTCAAGCTGGCACCCTCAAGATGTTTCAGACTACAATTTCCATCACCGTGCTGGCGTTTTAGTACAAAAGATCCAGAGAGCATCAGCTACAATATTACGATGTTGTGTGGAGCCTTCATTTTAACTCCCTGCCACCTAATTGAGATAAGGAAAGGCCCTTAGTGTCTTGAAAGAGCTCTAATGTGGAAGCAAAGCTAGTGGAAGCCAGTTCAGGTTAAGCTGTGAGCCTGGCATTGCTATTTTTCTAGGGAAAAAAGAGGTGCTGGAACTTAACCATGAAAAAGAAAGTGTGGTTCAGGAGCTTATAATATTTGCTGGAACTCACCCTTATTATCTTATAATGGCAATGGCACGCACCTGAGAGGTGCCGGAACTGAGTTCCAGCAAGTTCCAGCTGGAAAAAAGCCCTGGAGTCAGGTATGTTTTTTAGCCTCAAAGAAACAAAGAATCTTGTCGCATCTTTAATATACAGTGGTGCCTCGCAAGACGAAATTAATTCATTCTGCGAGTTTTTTCATCTTGCGAGTTTTTTCGTCTTGCAAAGCACGGTTTCCATTTTTTCAAAAAAATCTTCAAAAACCTCAAAAAAGGCTACCACACCACGTGCTATGAGTTGCTCCTCGAAGTCAAGTCGCAACTGCAAGCAATGCACCCTGTATTATTGTAACGGTTTTAAGAAAAAGGAAACAAACTTGCAAGACGTTTCCGTCTTGCGAAGCAAGCCCATAGGGAAATTCGTCTCGCGAAGCAACTCAAAAAACCAAAAACTCTTTCGTCTTGCGAGGCATTCATCTTGCGAGGCATTCGTCTTGCGAGGTACCACTGTATCTGTTTGTGCAGGGTTTTTAAAAAAATAACTTCCTCCTTTTCAGCATCTAAATATTTTTTTCTGTCAGAAACATCTTCTGCAGGGAAGTGCTCCTTTATGTAATACTCTACTTCCTGCCCCCACACCACTGGGGAGGGAAAGAAAAGAATGGTGCTTTTGTTGTCGAATGAAATGTATTATCAACAAATGAACACAAATATTATAAGCTCCTGAACCACATTTTCATGTTGAGGGAGGAAGGTTAGAGGGAAAAGGTTCTTCAGAGTTCAGTCCACCAAACTGGAGCGAGAGGCCTTATATCTCGTGCACAGGAGGGGTGCCCCATAATCTATCATGCTGTTTGCTGGAAGGATATTTATACCAGCACTTGGCTTTACAATCCAGGGTTTGTGTGAGCGAGTCAGATGGCCTGTTACAAATTGTGACTTCTCTGTACCATTCTGTTTCAAAGAGGCAGTGACAGAGAGAATGCAGCTAGCAATCTGGGCACTTGGACTTTGGAGGGAAAAGAGAAGACAATGAAGTCCTTATTATCAGTCCCCCATCTTGCAAATGCAGTTAAAAACAGGCAGAATACACCTCTTAGAGCGAATTGCTGTGCCTGTGGGGCAAACTTTCACAGATACTTTGCCATCCATCTTGAACTCTTTGACTCCATTACACACAGACCCTAAAAAAAGGATCTTCCTTCTGTTAATAGGCATGGCCTCCAAATCAGTATATGATCATTAGGTTTCTTTCAAGGTTTGGCCCTGTGACCCTTATTTAAATTATATTAAATGGTCAGAATACAGGGTGGGGTTGGGTGGAGGGTATATTTATTCCTGACTTTGTTCAGACACAAGACAATGGTAACTGTGTTGTCCTGGCGGTTGCTGTTTTGTAAACATCCATACTCTAAACAGAATATTCCCTGTTTTTCGAGTAATCCAAAACTGATGTCCACTTTGAAAACATACTATTCGCTTTGGCTATGCCAGAGTTAAAAGTGACTGCTAGGAAGACTGGAAGTCTCCAAAAATTGATAATGAGGGGGAAATAGAGATCTCATGGAGAAATGCAGTCTGATGGGGATCAGAATGCATACAAGGAAGGTGTGTGTAGAATCATCTAGACAAAAGTCTTGAGAGTGCACAGTTGCAAACATACACAGATACACAACAAAGCATGGAAGCTAGAAGGCTTAATAGTTGCCTTCCAGAACATAGCTGCTGCTACAGAACAAATGATACAGAACAAATATTATACAGCACTTGCAAACATGCTGCTTCTGCAAATTGAAGCAGTAGAGCAGGCCTATGTGAAGCAAGAACACCACCATCCATGATCATTGGCTGTGGTTGACCAGGTTTGAAGTCCAAGTTTAAACAGTTATAAAAGGAGGCCTTAATACCTGGGGGAGGGTCAACTTTTAAACTGCTAATTCTGGGCATGAACTGAATATTGCTGGTTCTAATTATAATAATAATAACGAACTTCTCATTTCAGTTCATAGGAGCCAACTTTTAGGGATCAAGGGGGCTTCACTCCCCCCCAAAGAAAAAAATATCGAGGGGTGATGGACATTGCCATTCAGATGGTGTGTGTGCACCACATTATGTGATTGATTATGCAGGGCAGAGCTTACCTGGGGGCCCCAATATTTTATAGAAGTTAGTACCCTTGTTTCAGTTCCTTGAACTGCTTGGTGTCTGCTTGTATGGCACCTTGGAAATGGACCTCCATCATTTGGGTGGCAGTTGCTGAGACTTACAATGGACTGCCTTCACTTCCATTTTTTTGCCAACACCAACATCCTTCCTGGATCAGACCAGTACCCTGTTTTCTAGAGAGACCAACCAGATGCCTATGGGAAGCCCAGAAACAGGAGAGAAGGGCCATTAGCCCTCTCCTGCTGTTAATCCCCACCAGGATGAGTGGTCATTTCCCCCAGGAGTCCTCGTCCAGCTTGGTATAGTGAACAAGATTCTACACCTGCACTGTCAATGCACTTTGCTGTGCTCTGCTGAACCCACCCTGGGTCCATTCAAAACCTGGCAGTGTTCATACGTCTCATCTTCGTGCTAGGCAGTTGCCAGCAAGCAGCTGTGAAAAGGCGGCATCTGCATTCACTGGAACTCAAAAGAATGCACTCAAACTATGGCTCCCAGGGCACTGTGTAAATAATGTGTGTGAGAGAGACACCCTTTCATCATGTATCCACCAACATTACAGTGGTACCTCGGGTTACATACGCTTCAGGTTACAGACTCCGCTAACCCAGAAATATTACCTCGGGTTAAGAACTTTGCTTCAGGGTGAGAACAGAAATTGTGCTCTGGCGGCACAGCGGCAGCAGGAGGCCCCATTAGCTAAAGTGGTGCTTCAGGTTAAGAACAATTTCAGGTTAAGAACGGACCTCCGGAACGAATTAAGTATTTAACCCGAGGTACCACCGTACAAGCTGGAAGAAAAGAAGAGTCTTTCTTTTCTCAACACTTGCTGAGAAAGCTTGTTAGCCAATTCTGAATCAAGCCAAGTGGAGTTTGCCCATCACTAAATGGAAATTGGTTTCAAGAACACTGCAAATGCTATGGACAACTTTGCAGAGTCAACAATTTGGGAAGTGTAAAAATAAAATAAAAGATTGACATTGTGATTCCCGATTTAAACAAATTGTGGGGCAGCATCAGAATGGATAAAGTGACAGCACCAAAATAACAGCATCAGAATGGATAAAGCTTGCTTTACATGCCTGGGTTGAAGGGGAGGTGTGTCTCCTTGCTCTTTACATGTCAGATTAGTACTGGCAAATCCTTAAAAGCTGAGTTATGCTGAAAGTATGCGGAGCAGGGAAAAGGTTGCCTTATGAATCAGATCCAGGTTCCTCACTGCAGAAGTTCCACTATGATTCAGAAGTGGATGTGTACAGCAAGGAACCAATAGGTAACGTGGAGTAAATTTCCACAGCATAGGAGTGGTTGGCTGAGAGGCTGGCTGGGTGGGGCTGAAGGTACAACATGCCACTGCGAATTGAAGTGAGACACGCTGCAAAAATGCAGGTCTGTATCTTATACCTCTGAACCTGTACAAAAGGCAAACTAAATTTCCATGAAGAGGTTTTGTTGTTGTTGTTTCCAGCTCCTCCTAATCAAGCCAAGCATTGGGTGACAAGATTAGATGATTTCCCCAGAGGAGAACTCCAAGGATAGCTATAGCAGAGGTGGGGAAACTTTTTACGATACGATATCTTTTCGGCCCAAAGGGCCACGTTGTCTTCTGAGCAGCCTTCAGAGGGCCACACGCCAGCAGTGGGCATGACCAGAGGCAAAAGTGGGTGGAGCAACTCATGCAAATGTTACCCTTATTCTGCAGGGCCACATTTACATACCACTCTGTAAGCTCTATGCGGACAAGCAAGAGACATTCCAGCCAAGCAAACTTTACTTGGGCACAGAGGGGGGGCCATTGAAGGGTGTGACCTGGGGACATTTGGAGGGCCTGGTTCTTGGCCTTTGGATGTTAGATTCCCCATCCCTACCTTCGAGGAAGGGACGCGGGTGGCGCTGTGGGTTAAACCACAGAGCCTAGGATTTGCCGATCAGAAGGACGACGGTTCGAATCCCCATGACGGGGTGAGCTCCCATTGCTCAGTCCCTGCTCCTGCCAATCTAGCAGTTTGAAAGCACGTCAAAGTGCAAGTAGATAAATAGGTACCACTCCGGCGGGAAGGTAAACGGCGTTTCCGTGAGCTGCTCTGGTTCGCCAGAAGCAGCTTAGTCCTGCTGGCCTCATGACCCGGAAGCTGTACGCCGGCTCCCTCGGCCAATAAAGCGAGATGAGCGCCGCAACCCCAGAGTCGGTCACGACCTGGACCTAATGGTCAGGGGTCCCTTTACCTTTACCTTCGAGGAAAGGCTGTAGCTAAGTGGTGGAGCTTGGTGGCGCTGGCTGGGGCTGATGGGAGTTCTACTTCCAAGCATCTGGAGGAAAGCAGATTTGGGCAAAACTGCTTTTCAATCTCCAGGTGAGCTTGTCTCCTGCCTGAAACTCTGGACAGCAGCTTCCAGTCAGTATGCAGAGACCACACGGAGCCAGATCAACTCCGAGAGCAAGCCATTGGAATTCGGGGAAAGGCACCCGAGGGGTGGGCGGTGGGCGCGGCTTCCCCGGCTTGAGCGGCGTCGGCGAGGAGCCGATGCTTATTCTAGTAGCCGGAGCGCGCCCTGCGAGGGAGTCTCTGGTTCCTTCGAAGCGCCGCGCAGGAGGCGCCCGGAGACTTCCTCTGCCGGATCTCCTCCGCGTAGCAGCCCAGCGGGGGCGGGACGGGAGGTTAGGGACGCTTCCTCGACGGGAAGGAACCTGGAGAGAGAGAGAGAGAGAGAGAGAGAGAGAGAGAAGGTGGGGCGATGGCTTCGCCGGCCAGGCGACGCAGCAGCGGGAGCAGCAGCCGCATTTGCCTGCCTGGCGCCTGAAGGGCTCGCAGCTTAGACGGGCGAAGGCGGCGCGGAGAAACATTGCGCTCCCGGGAGGGGAGGGAAAGATGAGCTGAGACGCTGCCCGGAGGAGCTATCCCGGGACGGGACGTTCCCCTGACCCCCACCCCCCAGCCTGCAGCCTGCAGCCTGGCGGCGACGTTCCTCCGTCCGATGTGCAAAGAGAAGCAGGAGATCATGATACTAACACGTAAGCTTCCGCCGTCTGTTCGCGGGTGAGACGGGACGGGCTCGGGGAGCGCGCAGGAGACGCGCTCCTTTCGGCTTATACTGTCTTCTGAGGGCGTCCTCGGCTTGTCTGCCCAAAGGGGGCGGGCTCACTCCGGATCCCAGAACCTCGACGGCGAGGCCGAAAGCACTCTGCACGCGCTCAGTGGAGGTGCTCCCCTCCGTCTGTTGCTTCGCGTGTTCCAGGGCGGCGAGCTGGGGAACAGGCGGGGAGCTGAAATGAAGGAGGATTAAGACGGAACGATTTTGCTGGCGCGCTTGCCTGAGAAGTAAATTCTCTTGCGGAGGCACCACTTCGAGGGTTGCGTAAGCTCCTCGGCTAATGGGGCTTCGGCCGTGCTTCTCTTGCGGAGAGGGCGGGAAATTGACTTCAGAGGTGCATGGAAAGGCAAGCTTTGCTTTGGAGACGGTTGTACAGAGATGCTCGCCTAGGTGCGATTTAAACACACACACATGCACATATTTTGGCTGCGAACAACTCGCAGTCTCTAGCTTGCGGCAGATTCCCCATCAGCAAAGGAAGATGTTTCTTTTTTGCGATCAGTTGATAAGATCGACGTGGCTCGGCTCCTGCTTTTGTTATGCTGAGGGAGGGGGGGGTCTCGAGCAAGAGGCGAAAGGGCAAGAGAGCGGAGCAAGAGACCCTTATCTTTGCACGTAGGCGAGCTCTTTGCGAGCCGTCGGGGAATCTTCTCCCCCGTCAGAAATGTAGGGCATCTGCCTTTCCCTCCGATCTGGTTTCTTTCATGTTCGTCGTTTCCCTCCTGCTCAATCTCCAACTTCCTTGCCTGACATAAAGTGCTTTTGTCTTCCGCATTTCCTCTCAGTAGCGAATTCACATGGTATATAAAGGGACTGCTTCATTCCATTCCCATTTTACAACATATTTTCATTCTTCCATGAACTTTCCCTCCCCCAATATTCACTGTAATTTCACTTAATTACCGTCCCAGTTGGAAGACGATTGTCACCAGTGGCACACCAATCTGCTATTGGGGTAATTGTATTCAGTTTCCCAATTTAGCAGCATTAACATGGGAGTGAGTCTCATTTAAGTGTGTATTCAAGGTTGCAGCCGAAGGCTCCTAGGGAAACAGGAAAAGCAGAAAATCCTTGAATTGTTGAAGCCATGTGGCAGCCTTTCCTTGAAATGTGTTTTCAATTAGTTGAGTCGCTGCCCCCCACCCAGCCCTAGTTCCAAGCCAAATGCTGTAAGATGCAATGCCTCACTTCGTGAGCAGCTTGTGTACATAGGTATGCCTTAAAGGGAGCAGCAGATGAAAGGGTTAAGTTGGATGTGTGTTTTGAAGTGGCGAAGAGAAGAGGAAGCTTGAATTCCCTTTTGAAGTTCTTCAATAATTAGTGTGGTGGCTCCTAGGAGCCAGATGCCCTCCCCTTTGAGCCCTGGTGCCCAGCCTCATGATGTCATCGGACAGCCTTTGATCCTTTTTAAGGAGCAACACCCCCTGCCAGTTGTCAACAATGCCTTGTATTTCTAGCACAAACAGAAAACAAATTCTTTTTGTTGTCTGGCTACCTTAGGTACCACCCTCCCTGTCTCTCTTTTTCTCTCTTCACAAAAACTTGCCAATGGCATGCTTGTAGCATCATTGTGAACCAAATGTTTCCATTAAGCTAATGGAGACTGTGCCTAAATGGCCATAAATTGGGTGTGACACATTTAAGTTAATTCTCTCTAACATGTGGGTATTGCTCCTTTCTTTTTTTAGTAGTAGTCATCCATAGGTTGCTGTTGGCACAGTGGTACCTCGGGTTACATACGCTTCAGGTTACAGACTCTGCTAACCCAGAAATAGTACCTTGGGTTAAGAACTTTGCTTCAGGATGAGAACAGAAATCGTGCTCTGGCAGCACAGCGGCAGCGGGAGGCCCCATTAGCTAAAGTGGTGCTTCAGGTTAAGAACAGTTTCAGGTTAAGTACAGACCTCCGGAACAAATTAAGTATTTAACCTGAGGTACCACTGTATTGTCATCCTTGATCTTTGCTTTCAAAATGTACTGAATACTTAAATGTCTCTGGTTAAATGGGTATACGAAAATGAGGGCTGAATTCCTGTGTTGCACTTATTTGGGAAGAAGTCTATTGAACATTGTGGGACTTACTTCTGAGCAAGCATGCATAGATCAGCACTGCCTAATTAATAGCATACCAAGAGCAAGAGCTTAGTTCTTTTAGCATCCAGTTTTAAGGCGGTTTGGGATGGGAGTGGTCTTTTACCTAGAGAATGAACAAGAATGAACATCTCCTACTCTCCAATGTGCACATGCCCACAATTCAGCATCTTTCACCTTTGCTGGGTAAGGAGGGCACAACTGAACAGAGGAAACTGAGCCAGACCATTGCTCCATCTCCTCTAGTATTGCTCCCCTGGCTCTCAGTAGATTTCCAAGGTCTTGAGTGGAATCTTTCCCAAGTCCAGATTTCTGAGATTCTTCTGGAAATGCTTGGGGTTGCACTTGGCATGTTTATGCAGGCAAAGCATCTACTCTGCAGCAACCTTTCACAACCTGGTGTCCTCCAGATGTTTTTTGGACTACAACTCACATCGTGTCTGACCACTGGCACGGCTGGCTGCAGCTGATAGTTGTAGTCCAACAACATCTGTGCAAGGCTGCTCAACAGCTTAGCTTCAGTTGTCCTCCAAACACTTTCTAAGCTATGGGTCCCTGGCATTAATATTATTATCATTATCATTATAATTTATTAAATTTGTATGCTGCCCTTCATCTGAAGATCACAGGGTGGTTCGCAACAGAAAAATACAAAATAAAAATAAAACAAATCAATAACTCTCTTCCCAGAGATATTGGGCACTTGAACCCATAATCACAAAGATGCAACTCTGCAGAGACTGTATAACAGATACTACAAAGCTATCTGTTTGAGTTTCTAAGATCTGCATTGGCTATCAAAGGTGTGCAACAGAGTTCATCCTTTTTTGGCCTGGGGGAAATGGTGTCTGTTTCCACCCACCCCCTCCCCGTGACTGATTTGCATTAACTTGCCAGCTCAGTAGCTCAGGAAGATGCTGGGCAGACAAGTCCCAAGAAATGCATCCCTCATCATTAGGGAGTTTGATCCAATATGATGGATGCATCTTCACTTCTATTAGCACTCATGATTTGGTTACTCAGCTAAAAAGTGCCCATCCCCTCACACATGTACATGAACACAACTCAAAACCTGCTTTTGAATCTCCCTTCCAAATTAGGCTCAGAAGCTGCTTAAAGGGGGGAAAGCTATCACTGATGTCCCCCCCCCTTTATTTCTCCTTTGAAAGTCTCTCTCGTCTAATTCTTCAAATGGATGTTTGAACTGGCATAATTTAAAGAACAATTTGGAAAAGGAAAAGGGAGCTGTAGAGAAGTGTGCATGGTAAGTACCCCTCTAAATCCCAGGCTTTGCCTGCTCTCTGCAGTTCACTTCCTCTGGAGCCTGGTGTGACTTGGAGTGCCTTCAGCTTTGCCTGGTTTGCTAGCTATAGCCTGGTGATTGGAGTCCATGTGCTTCTAACCTTGAGGCTGGATTACTACAATTGTCCTCTGCATGGGGCTGCCCTTGGGCCTGGTTTGGCAGCCCCAGCTGGTGCAGAATACAGCAGGCAGACTGCCGTTTGGGGAACATGGCCAACGACATGGCTTGTTAAAGCATCTGCACCCATCCACTACTGATCCAAGCTCGAGATATTTGTCTTGATTTGCAAAGCCCTGAACAGCTTAACTGAACCCCTATATCCTAGTTCAGTCACTTGAGATCATCTGCAAGTGTGTCATTGCTAGTCCCCTGAGTTAGCAAGGCTCACTTGACATCAGCACAAAATGGAGCCTTTAGTGTCATCAGCCCCGTCCTGTGGGATGTTCCACCAAGAGAGATTCAGCAGGCAGCCTTGATTTCAACTTTTCAATGCCTGCTGAAAACTTTTCTATATCTCCAGGCTTATACTGGAAGTTAAGAATACATCCTTCCATAGTGGTTAGCTGACGGTCTCTGATTCTAATTTTTATGCGTTTGTACTGGATGTAGATATTATTGTAAACCACTTTAATATTTTTATGATATAGTGGTATACAGTTGACTCCCAACTTATGCAGCGGTTGCATTCCGGGGATAGTGCATAAAGCCAAAATCTTGCACAGTCAACACACACTCTCCCTGCATCTCCAAATTCTCTCCCAAGGCAACTGCTGTGACTGGTGGAATTGCTAGCTTCCCCCCCCACACACACACACCCAGGATGCCTGCCCCACATTTTGTTGCTAAGTTTTTCAGCCAAGCACAGGAAGCTGAATTTGCACAAGTTAAGCGCACATAATTTGTGAGTCGACTGTAGAAATGATTTTATAAATAAAATAACTGTTGGACTGTAATGGCCACCATCTTGGGACTGTTGCAATGCTGGCTCAGATGGATGGGATTGTAGCCCAAACCAGGTTGTAAAAGGCTGCTCTAAAGCAGGGGTAAACATCATGGCCAGAGCTCAGGGATGATGCCCACTGTAATCCAACATCTGGAGCTCTCCAGGTGTTGCTGCCCCACAGTAAATAAATAGAAGTGTCCTGAAACATTCAGGTTGTGTCGATTATAATGGAACCAGACTGCGGTGGCCCCAGGCAGACCAAAGAGGTCCCGAGATAAATGACCTTGTCCGGCTAACATTCTGCTTCCTGCTCCCCGAAGATGAAATTTCAGCCAATCAAGCAGAATGTTTTGCCTGTGAGCAGCACGCCCCAGGTTTTGACTTACGCCTTATCTAGCAATACGAGCGGGTTTGCTTTCCTTTTTCTCCCCCCAAGCGCAGATTTTGTGGTTTTTGAGGTATTGTAACTTTATCACGGTCATCAGTTAAAAGAATTATTTTCTGTCTTGAGCAACTGGGAGCTGCTGGGTGTCTCAGCTGGATCAAGGAATTCCCAACAGTGCGGATATTGTGTCTCTGGTTACACTTGCAATGCAATTTGTAATGAACGAGAAATAAGGTATTAGCCAAGCAGATTGAGTGCTTTTTCTTAAAGTGTCACCAGAGCTTGATTAGGTCAGCATCTCTCTGGCCAGTAAGCCACCAATAGGCTTCATGTTGCCTCTTGTTTTCATTTGCTGAGCTTGGTATATACTATGTTACCTTTCTGTTTGGAGCAGATGGTGGGAATATCTTTGAACCCCCGTCTGAACCTTTTTCAAACAGCAGAAAGTTCAGTGGCTGATTGTCAGCCCTGGAAATAAGATCACAAAGGTTACTTGCCCCAATGCGCCTATGCTGGTCCTTTCTGGCCTAATAGTTTGGGTTGGGGCAAGAACCAGGGGGTCCTTAGTTGCCGCAGAAGACTAGGAGACACGCCTAATGATTGCATGGAATATATTGTCCCTTTCAAATGATAAAAGATTTTCCTAAAGTTATTGCTGGTGGCTATGGTCTTTTGTTCCAGGCTTTTACTTGAAATGTACATGATGGAAGGTATATGGATTGGTGCTGCTTTGGGCCTGAGTATTTAATAGCTCAGAGCACTTGGCTCTCTTGTATCAGTTGCTTTTGACAGACCTATTCAGTGTTACAAGATTCAGGCAAACCTATATTATCAAAACCAGTTTGAAGTCCATATTGTGATATTGGTTTCATTGTTTTTGACCTGGCAGTATATCGTGGTTCATGGTGTGTGTTAGGGCTGGGCAATATATCATCCAAAACTGGTTCCAAGCCCATATCATGATACTGGTTTTGTAATTTTTGATCTAGCAATATATTGTGAATCATGGTGTGTGTGTGTGTGTACGTGCGTGCATGTGCACGCACGCACGCACGCACGCACTATGCAAAATCACAATGTGGGAAACCCATTAAGCCAGCCAATGCCTCTACGTAGCTCCATCCTTATTTCAGACATTGTGATATATCCATATATCATGAGTTCATTAAATCCCTTGTTAAAAACAGGTCAGACAATACTGGCTAGATGGAAATGGTTGGACTGATCCTGTTTAAAGATGTTTCATGTGTTCCTGCATCAGTTTGTACGTGTGATGCTCATCCTTCACACACAAAGGAGTGTCATATTCAATGTGCATGGGTTGTTTTTTAAGTGCCATGCAACATAGGATCTTTTGAGCCTCATCGGCCCTAGTGTGAAGCAGTATGGCAGACTGTAGCTCTGAGATGGGAAAGCTCTCTGGATACTGCCGTGCTACGATTCCTACTTTCCCTGACCATTGGTCATGCTATCTGTAGCTGAATCAAGAACAACAATATCCAGGTGGCCACAGGTTCCCCCTCCCTGTTGTACCTGGATTTATTGCGGGAGGGGGGGCAACAGAAATTGAACCATGTAGACTTCTGCCCAGGACTTCAGCAGGAGACAACTGCAGTTTGTCGCCTGTTCAGGGGGATGGGAAGAATGAAGGCTTGTGTCAAACAGGATGGTCCCATATTGTAAACAAAAGTTTCTCATACTTCACTAGCAACAGGAAGAAGGAAATGAGGCTATGCGGCAGAACTGACAGGCTCCAGACAATACCAGACCCACCCCAGCATTTGAGCTCCATTGCCAAAAGACCTAAAGACACAAAAATAACTTCAGATGTTTCCGCTTCCTTTTTATGCTTATTACAGAAGTATAACCAAATCCAAGGCAATGTGTCTTGCACACAGTCTTCCCTATAAAATGACATTGTTGTGAGGAATGATAAGAGGTCCAGAGCTATTAGGACAAGGGCTCTGCTGCTTCCCTTGTGCACCCAAAACATAGCTAGCAGATAGTGAGAGATCCAGAAATTCCTTCCTTGCACGGAAGTATGCAAAGCCAAGAACATGCATTTCTTAAAGTGCCAATCAAGCCTCAGTAAAAGCCTCAAGGTTTCTTTTTAAGAGGATTCATCAGGGTACTGGACTTGGCCCCAGAAGTAAGAGGCTTAGATTCCTGGTGGACTTTTTTGGGTAGCGTTGGAGCCAAGATTTCTTTTGGCCTCTTGTTTCTTCTCTGTGTGAAATGGAATTCAAAGGGGCCTTGTTCGTTGCTTTCTTGTGTAGGTTGTCTGCTGCAATGGAACACGGTCGGCTCTAAACTTTTCTAGAAGAAGCTAGCCCAAGACATTTCGTGTTGGCTGCACTAAATGGTGGTAACACACCACCACCCTCTGAAATTGCAAGGGAGACCTTGAGCACACCTCAGAAAGTGTGTGCAGCTTGCATCAACATCCTTATAAACAATGGCATTCCTAAACAAGTGTTTTTATGCCATTCTGCCAGCCTCTTTCATCTGTATGCTTAATTTTTTTAAAAGGTATTACCTTAGCTAGAGCTTTCATAGTTTTCTGAACATTTTAAAGCTTAGAATCCATGTATTGACCATGAGTATTGAGGCAGCTAACTCCCAATGAGATAAGCCATTCCAGTCATGTTTCTTACCTTATTCCTGTGCAACAAGGGTCAGGGTGGCTTTTAAATAATTCTGAGTGGTGAAGGATGTCAAGATGTCTTGTTTGCTTTTGATTCTATGGCTGATAAATATCAAGGAATGTGAAGGCTGATGTTTTTCCTACAGCGAGACCGTGAATTAGCCGGATGGGTTATGCTATTTAGGCCAAGGCTACAAATACAACTCTTGATCTGTTCTTTAGTCCAGCAAATACCATCTTTCCAATAATAATGTGCTTGGAATAAGGGGTGGCTGTCTTCGGTAGGGTTTTCGCTTTAAATAAAAGACGGATAAGTTAATAAATATACCCTATAATAGCATGGATTCATGGGAATCCATTCTATTCATCACCCTGTACAAGAGAATTCTGTTGCCACCCCCTATACAGTCTTGCATTCCAGTCCTTGGGGGTTCCACAGCCACAGCACACTAGATCCTCAGATTCCTAGTCTTTTAGGCATGGCTGTTTGTATTTTTTTTAAAAAAAAGAATGGATATTCTGTGCCAAAGCAGTTCAAATTCTGCATCAAGAAAACTGAATTCTGCAACCTGCATAAAGTATGCAAATACTGTGGTGTTTCCTACTGCATAATTTATTTATGGTTTTCCTCTTAATGGGAATGTGCAAATCCCAACACATGGCACTGAGGCTTTGATCAAGCCCTAGAAATCTTACTCTCCGCCCCAACTGCCTTTGGAGAGTCTTCTGCCAGCATCAGACATGCATTTTGAAGTATATATTTGCAGCTGTAAAGACTTCAACGTTCTCACTGAGCTGAATTCCATGTGATCATTATTCCAGGATTGGTCTGATAACATTGTTCTGACTGATACAGAGCAACAGGGTGAGGCACATGGTGCCCTAGACCCAGTGTTAGAAACTCAAATAAGTAAGCTAGGTGTCAAACGGCTCCTCAGACCAGGGTTACATTTGCTAAAACAGAATGTCTAGTCGCCGTTTGGGGTTAGACTGCTCGAAAATCGTATGTGACTTTTTGGTTCCTGAAATTCGTTCTGATTGTGCAGATAAAATATGAGGCATAGAATTCTAAAGGATGTGTTGTTAGTGTGTGAAAACAGGCAACATCTAAGGATCACCAGGCATGCATCTCCAGATGGTGGAGACATCAGGCGCCATCCTGGCATCCAGGTATCTTCACTTGGTTGCAAGTGGCTGATAGCCAAGTGCAAAATGTGCTTGGTGCCTGGCGTATTTCGAATGCTGCCATTCCCCTGCCAAGTCAAGGCACATAGTATCCTAGGCCAGTCAGGGGTTTTTGCTTGGGGGTTTTGGGCAGCTGAAGCAGATAATCGCAGAAGCACCTCTCCCCTTCCCTGGCAAGAAAAAGGCAAGAAAAATATATCCTGCCTAAAAGTACAGTGGTACCTCAGGTTAAATAGGCTTCAGGTTACATACGCTTCAGGTTACAGACTCCGCTAACCCAGAAATAGTGCTTCAGGTTAAGAACTTTGCTTCAGGATGAGAACAGAAATTGTGCTCCAGCAGTGTGGCAGCAGCGGGAGGCCTCATTAGCTAAAGTGGTGCTTCAGGTTAAGAACAGTTTCAGGTTAAGAACGGACCTCCGGAACGAATTAAGTACTTAACCTGAGGTACCACTGTAGTGCCAATCCTGCACCAGTTTGAGCACCTTATGTCTATTTATGCGTGCTCTTAGCTTTCAGGAGCTGTCCAGATTCCCTGGAATCATTGCTTCTGACATGCACATGAGTTTAAAAGCTATGAAGCTACCCTTGTACCCCTGAGAAAGTTAGGGGAGAAGTACCTCAGCACAGAAAGTATCTGTGCCGGAATTGGGTGTATGAATTGTACCATAGCATTAGGCCTCTGATGTACTGGGAAACATGCCAATGTGATGTGGAGAACAGGCTCTTACCCGAGCTTTCTTCCCTCTCACATTGTCTTGCTGACTGAGAGGCCAACAGCTTGCGATATATCTCAGATCATCAGTGCATCTACTTGAAAGCCTTCTTGATTCCAGTGAAAAGTAGGCCTGCGGCTATGATCATGATGGCCGCTCTGCTTTTGCTCTTGTAATAAATAAATGCAGTGTTTGATTCTTTGGGACTCGACCAAATACCATTCTCACTGAAGGGTCATGAGTTTGTCTATGAAGCTTGCCCACTGTCGCCTTCTCTCAGGCTTCCCCTGGCGTTGCTTGTTGAAGCTCAGCTGGCAGGACAAGATCCTGCTTGGCTTATGGTTAATCTCTGTGTATTTGTGGATGCTGTGAGCTGGAGCACTTGGAGAAGGAAATGGCTGTTCCTCCTAACTTGTATTTTCTTGTCATAAGTACAGAGCACTAGAGTCAGGGGCAAAACTAGGCTTTATTTCACCTGGGTCAAAAGACCCAGTTTGGCACCTCCTTCACGCTCTTTTGTGTATACACACACACACACAGGCTGGGAACCTCGATGGGGCCTCTCTGGAGGCTTCACCCAGGGCAAAAAAAAAACAGCTAGCCCCCCCCACACACACCGATAGCTACAACTCTGACTAGAATATTCTTAATCAGGCAAGGAAGAGAGGCTGTAGAAATAAGGCCATCTGTACCCTTTAATCATAATATGAGATAAAGTATGCATTTAACAAGAATTCACCATTGTAAAGTTGTTGTTGTTGTTTATATCCCACCCTATACCCGGGGGTCTCAGGGCAGTTCAAAGAATAAAATCAAGATATAAAACTGCAAAATACCTAATAAAAATAAAAACAACAACCCAATAGGCCACCCCCCCAAAAAAAACCCACATTTTATAAGGACATAGGATGTAAATCAGATCAAGCAAAGGCCTGGTTAAAAAGGAACGTTTTTGCCTGGCATCTAAAGGTGTACAATGAAGGCGCCAGGTAAACTTCCCTGGGGAGAGCATTCCACAGACGGGGAGCCACTGCAGAGAAGGCCCATTCTCGTGTTGCCACCCTCCGGACCACTCAAGGAAGGAGACACACAAAGGAGGGCCTCAGAAGATGATCTCAGGGTCTGGGTAGGTTCATGTGGAAAGAGGCGGTCCTTGAGGTATTGCAGTCCTGAGTCATTTAAGGCTTTATAGGTCAACACCAGCATTTTGAATTGGGCCCGGAAACTAACTAACTGGTAGCCAGTGCAGTCGGACCAAGATCGGTGTAATATGCTCAAACCGTCTTGCTCTGGTGAGCAACCTGGCTGCTGAATTCTGCACCCGCTGAAGTTTCCAAACCATCTTCAGAGGCAGCCCTATGTATAATGCATTGCAGTAATCTAACCTTGAGGTTACCAGAGCACAACATCGCCATGGACCCACTTGGGAAAACCTCACCAGGGTTTTTTTAAATCTAGGCTATCCTTCAGGGTAGGACCATTAACAAAGTTATAATTCAGTGTATGGTAGGGCTGGTGAGGAACCTCCACTTGGTGATCACCTGTACCTGCAAAGCGTTCAGCACAAGATGCAACAATCAGCTGATTGTCAGGTCCTGTCATGTGACCAAGTGAAGATGCCTGGGCGTCAGGGATTGCTCCTGATGTATCCACCATCTGGAGGTGAATGCCTGAGGATCCTTGGATCTTGACCGTTTTCACACACTAGCACTAGTGAGAAATCTTCTCAAAGCCCACTTGCTTAATTGTCATCAAATGTATTATCTTCACCCTAAACAAGATGCAGTTTTTATTTTATCAAGCCTTATTTCCAGTCCTTTTTAGGAGGAAAGTTCTTTGTGTGTGTCCTGCATGCAGGAAGTACAAATAGCAGAAGTTCCTCACATCATGTGTTAAGTTGAGCTGTCCTCTTTTGTTTGTTTCTTACTGGGCTTTTAGAAGATTTTTCACTCTTAATAAATCTGATAGTTCTGGACTAAGGATCAGACAAAGAAGACAGCTCCCCATTTGATCATTCTGTTCGTTCTCTTTAAAAACAAAAAACAGTATGTACATGTCAAGTCAGCAGCTAATTCCAGAAAGTCGTAAGTAACATTTTTATCTTTACACAGGAAGTAAACTACGTTGCTAATCTGTTTTCTGTAACAAATCGGAGAGAGGTGCGCCTATGTTTTTGGCAATGCCAACTTGATTATCTTCAGTAGGAATTGGCAACATAGTCCATTTAAAAACAAAATCCTTGTTAAGATTCATATTGGCTACACTTCTGTAGAGGCAAAATCTGAATGTACTGTAAAGCCATCCTGTAAAGTGCCACTGAAATATATTTAAATATATTTAAACTGTTTAAGCTTGCTGTCAATTGCTTAAGTCCCATGATACAAGAGCAGGCATGGCCAAACTTGGCCCTCCAGATGTTTTGGGAATCAGCATGTTTTTACATGAGTAGAATATGTCCTTCTATTTAAAATGCATCTCTGGGTTATTTGTGGGGCCTGCCTAGTGTTTTTACATGAGTAGAATGTGTGTTTTTATTTAAAATGCATCTCTGGGTTATTTGTGGGGCATAGGAATTCGTTTACTTTTATTTTTATTTTTAAAATATAAACCGGCCCCCCACCAGGTCTGAGCACCGGCTCCCTGCTGAAAAAGTTTGCTGACCCCTGATATAAGCAAATCAGCATATGGGATGACACACCACTTCCTTTAGGTAGTTGGTTTCTGGAAACAAGCTCTTCAGAGATGGTACAAAGTTCTCTCAGCTGGCTAAACCCTCATAAGTAGTTGCTCACGGGTAAAGTGTACGTGTGACACAGTGTATGTCTATAATGCATTGTAATATGAGACAAGAATGCTCTCTGAATTCAGAGGGCCTGTGGAGATTTCCACTGGTGAGAGCGGCCACTCCAAAGTTCATGAGTATTCTTTCAGATATTACACATGCTCATGCAAGTAGTCCCATCCACTGGGGCCAACTGAACCACATCTGAACCAGATAGTAAGTCAGAACTGTGAGCCCTCCTGAAATGCTTTCCTTCTTGGTTCAGATTGAGCTGGCCCTCTGAATACTCAAACATGGAGCATTATTTTTATGGACAGACAGGAGCATTCGGACAAGCAACCTTAATGAATTTTTTTACATGGTACAGTCACATCAAGATTGTACCACCTTGGCTGCAGAGTGGTGGTGGTGGTAGGAATCACTGAGGAAATGTGTGCAGTAGATGAATAAAAGGGTTGTCCCCTACCTGAAGGCAGGCAAAAGATCGAAATAATGATCTTCTTACCACAAAATGGATTCCAAAAAGCCTGTTCTTTGCATCTTTACTTCATTCATGTACTTTAAATTTCACACTTGTCCTCCGTTCTGCCCCTAGTTCTAAGTAGGATGTCATATTTTTAATTAATAATGACTCTTTTCTCAATCCTTTTTGATTGGATATAATTATCTTTAAAAAAAGGTAAGGTAAAGGTACCCCTGCCCGTACGGGCCAGTCTTGCCGGACTCTAGGGTTGTGCGCTCATCTCACTCTAAAGGCCGGGAGCCAGCACTGTCCGAAGACACTTCCGGGTCACGTGGCCAGCGTGACAAGCTGCATCTGGTGAGCCAGCGCAGCACACGGAACGCCGTTTACCTTCCTGCTGATAAGCGGTCCCTATCTATCTACTTGCACCCGGGGGTGCTTTCGAACTGCTAGGTTGGCAGGCGCTGGGACCGAATGACGGGAGCACACCCCGCCGCGGGGATTCGAACCGCCGACCTTTCGATCGGCAAGTCCTAGGTGCTGAGGCTTTAACCCACAGCGCCACCCGCGTCCCATAATTATCTTTAGCTGTGATTAATTGTGTGAGGTGTCCGGATGGCTCTCAAGGGCCATAATATAAATGCAAAAGATAAAATTAATGTATTCTTTGTGGTTTCTGGAGGCACAGTATAGTTTAAACATGATTGCATTCTAATTTATCTAGGGAACACATTTCTCATCGTCCACAGCTTGCAAAAAGCTCTTCCCCTTCTTGGGCATACCATTCTTTCAGTCATGTTTGCTATATCATCACGAGACGCTTGAGTGAATTAAATTCTTCCTTCTTCTTTTTGCCATCCAGGATTTTTCTTGCTAGAAAGCAAATTTGATTCCTGGAAAACACCACACACTGCTAACTAAGGGAGGAGAAGTTCTTTGAAGGAAGAGGGAATATGCCTTAATTATGTTTGGCAAGAAATAGAGAGAAAAGGCCTCAGTGGAGGCATCTGTCTATTATCTGTGCATTTCGTTTTCAGAATACAAAGCCATTATCTCAATGAAAGCAAGCGCCAGGCAGACTGTATATCAATTCTCATCTTCCTCTCCCCTCAGTGCTTTGGCAAAGTCTAGACTCACATCTTAGTTAAGTGAGGGGTAGCCAGCATTTTGCAGGACCCTAACTTTTATCAGTAGCTATACTCCAGCAACATCAGGAGAATACAAGCATCCTTGTGAGGTGGCGGAGGATGGGTGCAGGGACAGTGGTGGCATCATAGAGTTGATAGTGAGGACTAGCTAGCAAAAGCTACTTGGATTCACCACAGTGGCAGTCCATCCAGGGTAGTCTCAGGCACACAGCTCAACCCAGATAATCAGGACTTTGAATACACAGTTTCTGTTTGCCTCGAGGGGGGAGTTGTTGCTGCTTTTTTTAAAAAAAGAAAAGCTTTAGGTGTCAGACCAGATAGCCAAGACGTTATCAAATGAAAGAAAAAGTGAGAGACGCTTAGGTTAGGAATTCCTTTCGTAGTGTCTGTTTTGGAAACTTATGGTGCCATAGGAAGCAGCATATGTAATGGTACCCATCCATATAGCAGAGAAGCTGGCCTTTATTTCAACATATAGACCAGCTTTTGAGGGCATGGGAGGAGAAATTGAGCTTTTTTTATCTTTGTTCCTGAGGGGAAAACAAATCTCTCTTCCCAAGCTGGAAGATTTGCTTAGGAGAGTGCTACTTCAGGCACACAAAAAAGAGTGCAGTATGGGGATTTAGGCTGGATCAGCTTGGTCATGTGATCTGGCAATCCAGAACGGGATCCTACAGTAGGATTTCAATTTATGCTGTTTTTACTTATATGGCTGCAGCTTTACGCTGATCACCAATAAATGAATAGAAAGGGGGCTAGAGAACCTTGCATACCAGGCTCTGAGGGCTCTCGCGAGATCTTGTGAGGCTGTCCAAGATCTTATGGGATCTCAAGACAGCCTTGTGAGTTCTTCCAGGATCCTCCAGAACCCTTGCGTAACCGCCCAAAATCTAGTAAGCAAGGCAGAGGACTTAAAAGCTCTTTCTGTGAAGGGTTACCAGGCAGTGGCAGGCAGGCTTGTGAAATCTCAGGCAGCGGGTATGGCAACAGGGGCTGTTCTGACTTGCCCCTGCTGAACGGGGTTTGGATCTTGCGTAACTTTATGCCAGCTTCTTGTGCATAGGATTGCTCCTTAATACTGCAGCAATCGTATCGGATCAATGTAGCTTGCAAAAGGGTCTTATAATTTTTGCCTCCATCCTACCTAAAAGTGGCCAAGGATGGATATAACCAGCAAGAGTTTGATTGTTCCCTACCAGAATCTTAGTGCAGGTGCCTTGATTAACCCGAAACGTTTTTGAGCAGAAAAGATTTCTCTTGGAACTTAAGGAATATTTGCAAACAAATTTTAAATTCTTGCTTTGTATACAAACTAAGACTCGGGGGAAACTTTTTAAAAGTACCAATTTTGTTTTGCATGTCATCTTACCCGTCAGTTGTCTTTGGGTTTGTTTGTTTGTTTGTTTTTTGTTTGTTTGTTTGTCTATTTACAGTTCCATGCATATTTCCTCAGAAGTAAATCCTGCAGGGTTTTTCTGGGGTTTACTCCTAGATAACATTGCATAAGATTGCAGCCTTAGTCACTTAAAAATATTTTAGGGCTGTAAACCCAATAAATAATAGTATGTGATAAGAAAGGAAGTTGTAGAAAATTGCTACTGGCAGCTGGGTGTTTTGTTTTGTTTGTTTAAAAATTAACTCTCTAACATGGGAAGCTTTTATGATTTTCCATTCTGAGATAAATGAAGCTTCAACTATTTATGAGCCTAATTGACTTTCAGAGAAGATCAGGCCTGAAGCTGGTTGCTGCCATATTTCCTCCCCCCGCCCATATTTTACTCCTACCTAACCCCCTCCGCACTGGCCCATGTGTTTCTCTAAGAGCATAATTAGGAATTGTTCCAAAATAATGGAACAGGCCCCAGTTCCACTGCTGGAATTAGTATCATGGAAGACCACCATTGTTATACTTGAAAGGTCATGTAGATTTTCCAGGAAAGATCCATCTATTGTTTAATAGATCCTTGATGGCTTCTGTTCATGGATCTTTGCTAGAAAAAAATTAAGATTTGCACTTTCAGAGTAATGTTATCTTCTCCATGGAAAGTCTTCCATGTAGCATTGCCATGAAGAAGAAGGAAAGGCTTCAGAAATGGGGGTCTTGCCTGCCTTAAGCAGGCATGGTGAACTTTTGTCAGGCAGGCAGCCATGTTCACTTCTGGGCAACCTGGGGGTCATGTGACAGTGCTGGGCAGGGTTAGAGACAAAAGTGAGCCCAGCAATATTTGTGACATATCTGTGGACTACTTTCTACACATGCAATGAATGCATGATCAGCATCTAAGGGCACATTCTGTCCAGACAAAAGTACCTCAGGAACATAAGAAGCAGGCCTGGAAAGAGAGAGTGTGGCCTGAGAAGAATCCCAGAAGCCTGAAGGGCCAAATTAGATCCCCGTAGGCCTGAGGCTGCCCACCTGTGGTCTTAGCTGAGACTGATATGAGGGGAAGGTATAGAGAAGGGAGCAAGACTAGGCGGATATATGAGATCAGGTCTCTCTCAGATGTTCAGACCAGCGAATATGCCCAACCATGAAACCTTTAAATGGCTCAAGGTGCCAGATTTTAGCCAGTTTTGGGGGCCAAACTACACAGTGCATAAATTGCATTACTTACAAGCCACATCAAGGGGTTTAGGCTGTGTACTTATCATACCTTTAAAGCACCCACCCCACCCCCCAAAGAACCCCTCATAGACAGCAATAGCAGGGTGCAAGTTGGGAGCTCCTGTTGCCAACTGCAGCGCAGGGGCAGGTCAGATTTCCGTTAGGAGCATGACTAAAACTGCCCACAAAGAGGCCCTCAAATACTGTTTCCTGGGCAGAACTCCCATTAGATGTCTGGCTGCCATTTTCAGCTGCCCTGTGTGGGTTTGAGTCCTTTCAGCTGCTCCAATAGCTGGCACAGTTGGCGTTCTGTGTCGCAGTTTAAAAGGGAGCAAAAATATCCTGATCTTTTCTTTCTTTTGCACCACCTTTCTGTTGGAATTGACTTAAATTTCCATTAAGTTCTGACTTGGGACCTTGGGAGAGGTGCAGTAGAACCAAGGCTCCTGAGGGGTCAACTGGAGCTTTTTAATTTCTTCAGCTAATCCAAGTTTTTTACCTGTCAGCCTTAGTCTGTATCCTGGAACCAGAACCCAAATTAATTAGACGTGTTGGCATGCTTGATAAGAAAACAGAGCATGTAACTCAACGATCTGCACGTATTCCCTTTCTCCTGGCCTCCAGTGCATACTTGTGAATGACTGTAGCCTGCCAAATAGTATATTTTCAAGGAGCGAAGTGCAAAAAATATATATACTTGGAGCAAATAAGCGGTATGTAAACTGAGTCACTCGTAAATGCTGTGGAGACCTCCAGTCTTCCTCCACTTTTAACCTGGGTAGCGAACGTGTGGTTGAGCAAATGTAAAACAATGTGCCACTTGTTCTCAGGGTTTAGGTTTGTCGGTATTATTTACACGATGCAGAAAGGTTGGTTATTGGCTTCACTAAGTATTTCAGTCTGAAAAATCATAGTATCAAAAGCGACATGATTTGTTGAATGCTGCTCATTTTTATTTGGAAGTTTTCAGTGGTGTTAATTTAGCTGGCATTATCTAATTTTTTAAAATACATATATACTTTTGCCAAGGTTTCTTTCTGCAAAGAAGTTATGAGCCAGCAATTCTGACCCAACCCAGGTACCCCTAAAGACAATGAAAAGCACCTCTTTTACTTTTGTAGCTCTGTGAAAGCACTGCGCTAGCACCAATGCATAGCTCTGGATTGCAGCCATTAAGCACATTGAAAATTTAAGGTGTCACTTCAGGTACATCTGGAGTAGCGTTCTTAAGTAGTAGAATTAAGCTGTGAAAATATACAATGAAATCAAAACTTGAAATAATAGCACTTGGGAAATAATTTCTATTTCTCCAAGGTCGCTGCTGAATATATGCATATTTTCGTAGCAGAGTTTCTCTTTTAAAAAAAACAAATGGGAGGGGGAAACATTTTGCTTTGCACATCTCGACTATGAATTGTCTTCTCTTTATCTTCCAGAGATTGAGGCCAAAGAGGCTTGTGATTGGCTGCGGGCAGCAGGGTTTCCACAATACGCTCAGCTATATGAAGGTAAGCAACAGTGCTGCTTTCTGTGTCATTGCTCCTCTAAAGTGATTTAGGCCCATCTCTTTTATTTCCAAATAGGATAGATCAGCCTATCTCTCTCTGCATCTCTCTAACATATTCTCTCCCAACTCCCATCAGCCCCTGTCAACGGGACCACTAGTCAGGGATGGTGGGAGTTACAGGCCAAAGCATTTGTAGGGCACCCAGCTGGGGAAAGGCAGGACAGATCTTAGGTAGGTAAGTAAGAGGCAGAATCAGGGAGCTGAATTCACTGCACAGGTGCACATAGGTGCATTTTTTCAGTGCATCTGACAGAAGTTAAATCTGTTGGTACTGTGTCCCAACAGATTTGCAAGAACTCTTCGGCATCACTTCATCCCCCCAGCTGTTCGTTATAACTGCATAGTGATAGTTCATTATTTAGTGGTGGAAGTTACAGCAGTGCGAAGCATGTTCTTGATGAGCGATTGAGAGAGGCTTTAATTGGCAACTGCTCTGGCAACCGGTGGCGCTAATAGCACTTGCAGAGACAACACTTGGCTATGCTTTTGTTTATCTGTTTAGCAACTGAGTTTCCTTCTATTATGTTATTCACATTTGGTACTGACACAGAGCCAAGAAAAGTCCTTTTTAAAAAAAGAAAATCAGCATGCAGGATAGCTCTTGCTATTGTCCAACTCCTTTGTTCAAAATCCTATATTTGGACAAGTTTGCTTTTCTTGAACACTTTGATTCCTTTTCTCTGCCAAGGTGCATAATCTCTAGGAAGCCTTTCTCTAATGTAAGGATGTGCACACATACTAAACCTCTCGGTTATTATTTTCATAATTTAAATAAATAAAAAGCTCCCCCATCAAACCTAGTTTCATGGTTCCATTGCCACGCATGGCATTTCTAGCTAGCTAGCTTGTGGTCGGTCTGAGAGGCTGATGACTCACCAAGGCAAACAGAGCCCACAATTCATGGCTTGTGGCTCCCAAGGTGCCTTGTTTTTGTGGTTCTGGAAGCATAAACAGGAGGTTTCTTGAGTCCCCCCGAAGGAACCATATTTGGCTTGGTGAGTTGGAAGTCATGCAAGCCTGGCTTAGGACTTCAGTAGAGAGGGCTGAAACTTTTTGTCTGAATCTACATGGTCTGGTTATAATGATTTGTGCATAAAGACATAATATTTTTATAGGAATGTTCCTGTAAGCATTGTCAGTGATGCAAAATTGAGAAGGTCCATTTGGCGGTGCCACATTTTGGCCTCACACAGGGCGCCGTATTATGAAAGATTACCAAAGTCCGTTTCTAGATGGAGAACCTCTGTTGGGATGTTGTTGGACTCCTATCATCCCTTGCCATTTGCCATGCTGGATGCAGTTAATGGGAGTTGGAGTCCAGCAGTCCAGCAGCATCTGCAGGGCCACAGACTGCCCATTTTTACACTATGTCAATGCTAACTTCCCATTTAAGAAGAAGAAGAAATTATTTTATCCTGCCCATCTGGCTGGGTTTCCCCAGCCACTCTGGGTGGCTCCCAACCAAATAATAATAATAGTAGTAGTAGTAGTAATAGTAAAGTGATAAAACATTAAACATTTCCCAAAACAAGGCTGCCTTCATATGTTTTCTAAAAGTCAGATAGTTATTTATTTCCTTGACATCTGATGGACAGGTGCCACTACTGAGAAGGCCCTCTGCCTGAGTCCCTATAACCTCACTTCTCGCAGTGAAGGAACCACCAGAAGGCCCTCGGCTCTGGATCTCAGTGTCCGGGCTGAACGATGGGGTTGGAGACGTTCCTTCAGGTATACCGGGCAGAGGCCATTTAGGGCTTTAAAGGTCAGCACCAACACTTTGAATTGTGCTCAGAAACATACTGGGAGCCAATGTAGATCTTTCAGGACCGGTGTTAATATGGTCTCAGCGGTGGGGCACCCACTGAAGGGGCCCTAAAGTCAAAAGATTGTCCCTTCACATGATAGAAATTATCATACCAATTCTTGGCATGCAGGAGCCGCAAAAGATACCTTGATCTGCATCAGGTAAAAGTTTACACAATAGAGAATTCATGCTTGTCAAGCATGGGGCCTGGGGGAAAAGCCCTCCTGAGATGTCCTACATAGAACCATTCGCTGTAGCGGTGGGGAGTTCTGGCTGTGTGAGGAATGTGGAATCGACCCATCTGCCGGTTCAGGAATCTGTAGAGAGTGGCAAAAAAATTTGTCTGTTTCAGTTGCAGAGCAGCTGTAGATTTCCAGACATCAGCCACTGCTGTTGCTTCCTCCTTGCCGCCCACCCCACCCCAAGTGTTTATCTAAGACAGGTCTCCACAACTGGGAAAGCAAACACAGCCCACCAGCCGCCTATTGCAGCCTGCCAGGTGCTTGACAAGCCCCTGTTTCTGCAATCCCAGACAGGCAGCACAAACAGGAGAGGCTTATCCAGCCCTCTCGTGGACCACCAGACACGGCAGATGGGTGGTAGGTCCCCAACGCGCAGGCCTGGCCTGCTGCATTGTTTTCAGGGAATGGGAAACAACACGAGGCTCCTAGCAGCTTGTTTCTCCCCTCTGTTCAGTTCATAACTCTTCATAACAGAGTGTCAGTGTCAGTTTATCCAAAGATAGCTGCTTGGCTACTCTCAAGGCTGTGTTTTATTTCTCCACATCATTGCCTTCCAGTGCTTTTGGAATCGCTAACCTATTGCTTAAATGCAGCGCATGCCGACTCCTGGAAAGCTTCCTCAAAACGTTAAATTGTTTGTTTTAAAGTTCAGTAAGGTTTTTCTCCGCTCATGCAGTTGTGGACTTGGTTTGCTCCTCTGTGCTTTGCTTGCTCTGCCTCCCCCCTTTTCCTTCCTGTGACACATGGGAATTTTCAGTTGCCAGTCCTGTGTGTTAAAGGTTCCATATGAGAAGCAGGCTCCTGTCACACATCCAAGGCAGTATGAAGGGAGATTTATCTTGCAGGAGCCAGTCCCTTGCGTCTGATGTCTTGGAGACAGCCGGTTGCTTTGAAATAAATTTTATCTCTGGGAATAGCATTCTTTTTGATTGCCCATCCATCTTGATTCCTGCAGATCTGATATTTCCCATTGACATTTCTTCGGTCAAGAGAGAACATGACTTTCTGGACAGAGATGCTATTGAAGCTTTGTGCAGGTATGTGGGGGAAAGATTGCTTCAAAAAAAGGATACTTTCAAGTGGAAGGGTAGGGTCAGCGCCAGTCTTTTTATTGTCTGGTTGTCAATTCGAAATATTCTCTGAAATCCAAAGCATTTGTTGCTATATATTCATCATAAATGAATGCTGGGTTCCTGTCAGGGCCAGATTTAAGTTTGATGAGGCCCTAAGCTACTGAAGGTAATGGGGCCCTTTATATGTCCAGCTGTCCTTTGTCAACAACAAATTGTTGCTGTTTTTTGTGTTGAATATATGCTATACGGTAATGTATGGACCTAATAGGTATCTAAAGCCATTTGCACATGTTGCCATGCAATCAGTCCATGCAGAATGTAGGCACCTTATATATAGAAATGAGCAAACTAGTGATATTTTAGGGAGCAGGCTAGCAGGCGGGGCCCATTACTTACATCATAGGAGCCTACACAACTCAATACACTGTTGCTGTATGTAGGTTTTATTTTATTTGTTTTTATCTTACATTTTAGAAATGTACATCCAGGTTTTTTCCTTTAATTTTTTTGGGGGGGCCCCAAGAGAGTGGAACCCTAAGCTATAGCTTGTTTAGCTTATACGTAAATTTGGCACTGGTTCCTGTACTTGGAATACCATGGGAAGAAACCATCTTCTTGGATTCAGCTTCATGGACAGTCACCACTTCTGCCTCCAGCTAAGAAATGCAAGACCTGACTCAGAACTACTGCAGGGGCTTGTTTGGGACTTGAACACTGCCACCATGGACTCAAGGCTAAATGTGTGTGATTGCACAACCTCCCTCTGAATCTCTCTTGCACCCATTCAGCCTCAAAGCAATCAAGTTAGGGTGTGCCATTTTAGGGGGCGAAAGTTAATTTTTGCAAAGTTCTTCAGCAAGGAGTCTTAAAAACACGTTTTTTGGGGAGTGAGGATGTAATGCTAAATAATAAAATCAGCCATTTTTAACATGATACATAAATGCAGATGTGGATTTTGCATGGTTGTCAACCCTTAAGAAAAGGAAATCATTTTTCTTTCCTTTTTTGGGAGGGCGGGTTGGGGAGAAATCTATCTGAAGAATCCTTTACTCAAGGAAACAACATTCAGAAGACATGCTTATATTCTGTTTGGTGAAACGAACAGTATTGACTTCCTATTGTTACCATAATTTGCAAAATATGATTTGCAGGTTAATCCAAGGGGGTTCATGTTTGGAAAACTGATACTGTCATAGCATTTTGAAGACTGTGGTTCAGAGCTGTAGCATTTGTGGTTTATCTGGTGATCGCTTGCAAGACAAGAATATGTTGGGCTAAGTTTGAATGTCTCAAGGATGCATTCTAAATTTGTTTTCAGCCAAAGCAACAGAAACAAAAGTGAAATGGATTGACTCGGTGTATGTAGGTCTTAACATTTTGCAGAAAACCCCCATCATAAATGGATTTAGGAGTTTTTTTAAAGAAAAATCATTTGCCTCTGTTTAATAATGTGTTAAAGCTATGGTTTTCCCAGTAGTGATATATGGAAGTGAGAGCTGGACCATAAAGAAGGCTGATCGCCGAAGAACTGATGCTTTTGAATTATGGTGCTGGAGGAGACTCTTGAGAGTCCCATGGACTGCAAGAAGATCAAACCTCTCCATTCTTGTGGAAATCAGCCCTGAGTGCTCACTGCAAGGACAGATCGTGAAGCTGAGGCTCCAATACTTTGGCCACCTCATGAGAAGAGAAGACTCCCTGGAAAAGACCCTGATGTTGAGAAAGATGGAGGGCACAAGGAGAAGGGGACGACAGAGGACGAGATGGTTGGACAGTGTTCTCGAAGCTACCAGCATGAGTTTGACCAAACTGCGGGAGGCAGTGGAAGATAGGAGTGCCTGGCGTGCTCTGGTCCATGGGGTCATGAAGAGTCGGACACAACTAAACGACTAAACCACAACAACAACAATAATGTGTCTCATCAGTTGCAAACAGATTGTATTTACAAGTCTAACCAAGCACTGACACTCTTCATTTAGTCAAGTGTGTTACAGGACTTGATTTTGCTGCTGTAAACTTGATAGAATGAATGCACTTAGAAGGTGCTACACAAGTTATGCACAGGCATTTTGCCTTTCCTCAGCTGAAGAAAGGGCAGCAGCAGTAGTGAGTGGCGAGGTCCCAGACTGAGGGCTGGACCAGTATTTGATTTGCTGTTTTGGGTGCAGTGTCTTTTAAACTGTGAAACCCGAAGGGAACTGGGTTTGCAGTGTGGCTGAGGAATGCCATTGTGTGCACTTTCCCCTTCTGTTAAGTTTGTCTTCTCCATGAAGTAACAATGGTATAAATACCCCGGCTTGGATTAGGAATAATCATATACCTCAGTTTTCACGATTGCCTCTTCAGGCATTCTCTTTTCTTTTGTGATTGTCACTTACCAAGGGACGGTGGGCTCAGGCTGGCAAGCCCTGTCCCCGTTGTCTTGGTCCTCTTTCCTCCCCCCCACCAAAGCTCCCTAGAAGTTTAGGATAGAGTAAAATTCTGAAGCAGGGATCTTCCCCTACTCATCGGGGGTGCCTGCATGATTTAAACACTTGATTATGCACGATTCTAAATCACTTAACACAACGGCATGCAAACAACATGAATCTTGTGGGTTCTTGTTTTTGTCAGGATTCCAGATTTCTTCCTTTTTTCTCTCTAGAAGCCAGCTTCCAGCAATCAAAGTTGCTGTGGTATTTTTTAGATTCTTAGGGTTAGTAGAAGGCAAAGTTGTTGTTTTTTAAGCCACATGGATAAATGTTTTTGTTGTCAGACTACAACCCTGTACCTGCTTCCTTGGGAGTTGACCCCACTGAACTGAGCAGAACTTACTTTGGGTTAAATATGTCCAGGATTGTACTGCTAGGTCCATTTCAGGGCACACCAGATTACCCCTTTAAGTGTGCACAGCTGCTAAGCAACATCCAAATACCTTGCTCAACCAACAGTTGGTTTCCATGCACTTAATATGTTAGGGAAAATGAAAATGTCCTTTAGGCTTCTGATTGTAATGCCAGCTCCAGTATCGTTATATTGCTGGTGGTGATTCCCAAATAGTATAGCATCGATTTTGAGATCTTTACACATAATGATGTAGGAAACTGCCTTCCCTTCTTCTGCATCAGACCATGGATCCACCTAGCCCAGTATTGGTCCATTGGCCCATCTAGCCCTACATGGACTGCTTGTGACTATCCAGGATTTCAGGCAGGGATCACTGTCACACTACTTGGGAGATACTGGGAATTAAACCTAGACCTTCTGCGTACAAATGAGATATTCTACTATTGCACTACCATCTTCCTCTTATATATGCTGTGTGTGTGTGTGTGTGTGTGTGTGTGTGTAGGTATATTCTGAATCAGGGTTTCCCAAACTTGGGTCTCCAGCTGTTTTTGGACTACAATTCCCATCATCCCTGACCACTGGTCCTGCTACCTAGGGAAGATGGGAGTTGTAGTCCAAAAACAGCTGGAGACCCAAGTTTGGGAAACCCTGCTCTGAATGTTCACTCATTGCAACTCTTAAAACTGGGATCTTAAAATTAGGCTTACTAGGTTGTGTCCTTCTTTCATTTTAAAGGGTTGTTTTGTTTAGCGTTCTGCTTCTTTTCTGTTTGCCTTTCTGCAAAGTGTATGTTTAAACTTCTGAAGGTACCTCCAAGGAAATAGTTTTCACCGTCTCTACACTTATCTATTTCAGCTGCCTAAGGGTCTTATTTTGAGGAGCAGGCTACAGATAATCTTGGTGAAATCAAAGCTCTTATCAGGCCAGCTGGAAATATGTTTTCTCTGACAGATCAAAGTGGTTGGGCTGGTTAAATGCAACAGGTTGAAACTAGAGAAAACTCCATGTGGGGACCAGTGTTGTAAAATGTGCAAATGTTTATGTAAAACAAACCTGGAGATCCAAACTGGGAGATTCTTTCCCTTTTTCCCTTTTTTCCATTATTTTTAAGGAGGAAGGCATGCGCAAGCCATCTTAATGTTGTCCCTTAATTTCATTTGATGTATCGGAAGCTTAATTAGTTATTTTATATAATTTTTGTAAATTAAATGGAAACGTGTTTGGGGATTCCTGGAAGGGAGTCCCTGTGGGACACCTCCTGGGTCTGGAAGCAGACCTTGGTCCTCTGTACTCTCTCCTCCATTCCTCTCATGTGGGGAAGAAGTGAAAAACTGAATCAAGAGATCCTACATTTATTTACCGTATTTTTTGCCACATAGGGCGCACCGGCCCATAGGGCGCACCTAGTTTTTTGGGGGAGAAATAAAGGGAAAAAAATTTTCCCCAGGCGCGGGGCTTGGGCGGGGGAAGCCCAAGCTTCCCCCGACCCCAGCCCCCAAAACAGGCTGCTATCCGCAAGCCGTGGGAGAGCTGTGCTTGCGGAGAGCTGCGCAAAGCCCAAAGCCTGGGGGGCGCTGAGCGAAGTCGTGCACCTCTCCCACGGCTTGCAGATAGCTTCCTGAAGCGTGGAGAGCAAGAGAGGTCTGTGCGCACCGACCCCTCTCGCTCTCCAGGCTTCAGCGAAAGCCTGCATTCACCCCATAGGACGCACACACATTTCCCCTTCATTTTTGGAGGAGAAAAAGTGCATCCTATAGGGCGAAAAATACAGTAACTCCAGGTTCCTGCTTGACCAACATAGCCAACATTGTACTCTCCAAATGTTGTTGGACTCCCATTTCCATCAGCCCCAGCCAGCATGGCCAATGGATGATGAGAGGTTTTAGTCCATCCACATCTGGATTGGCTGCCCCTGCTCTAGACCTCTTGAGATTAAGCCCTCTTGCCCCCATATTATCTCAGTGTAGGATCTCCTGTTCATTTTTCTCTCCAGTTGGTGAAGAATACATGTGTGACTGAATGTGGCCTGCCACAGGGCTCCTGTGACAGCAGGTTTCTCTGGTTCGCAAATGTGCCCATGGATCCAAAAAAAGGTTGCCACCCCTACGCTAAACTGTAGTAGTGTTGTGTCCTAGTGGGTAATGCTGGAATTGAGCCAGGTCTCATGTACTTTGACCCCAAAGCATTGCATCTCTTGTGGTCAAGTGAAATGTTTTGGCAAACGGTGTTTAAGGAGATAACAGAAATCACAGGGTTAAAGCTGACTGGAAGTCCAGAGGTAGCATTGTTATCAATTTATGACAGGGTGGATGGCATGCAGGCTATGAAATACTTGCTCACAAATTTATTGACAGCTGCACAAGGTATTCTAGCTAGGAAGTGGAAGGGGCAAGGTGAATATCAAATGGAAGAATGGTATAAAGAGGTGTGAGAGAAAGCTATTAAGGATAAATTAATGTGTGCTATCAAGGTAAGATAAAACAGGGAATATGAAGGAGGAATGATTTTGAGGAGAGATTTGTACTAAGAAAACGGAAAGGGGTCAAGCGATCGCAAAAAGTGCTGAAATTTTGGAAGGTTAGATAGTTACGATGGAGTGGTCTCGAGGGTGGGGTGCACATTTTTATTTATACTTTGTAACTTGTATTATTTAATAAAAATAAAAAAATAAAGAAGAACTAGTATCTTTACTGGTAAGCTTACTTTAATTAACCACTTGCACTTAAAATAACAACCCAGCAATACTTTTTGTTTCATTTTTGTGTGTCGGTGTAAAATTATGAGAAAAATTGTACAACCTTGAGAGAGAGAGAAGTAATCTGATTTTCTTCGTTTTGGGAATAGATTAGCAGAGTTCTCCCGGAGCTATACTGAAAATAATTATATTACAGACTGAAAAGAACAATCTAGGCACCTGATGTGTGGGAAATTAGTTTTCTTCTTTGAGGCTTTAGCTTAGTAGGTGGGGCAGGGGGGAGGAAATGAAAACAGATTCAGCAAGCTGTACCACACAAAGACATACTGGTAGAAGGATTCCATCTGATCTGGTCAAGAAAAGAGTGATTTCCCCTCTGCCCCAGGATTTTGTATGTACAGTAATACTGATGATAAATTACAATTATTGTTGCCTGTTCCTTTGTTGTTGTAACTTCTGATCATTTAAAATGGGTGTATTCCCTGGATAAATTAGACTTAGAATCATAGAACTGTACAGTTGGAAGGGACTACGAGGGTCATCCAGTCCAGCCCCCTGCAATGCAGGAATCTCTTGCCCAATGTGGGGCTTAACCCACAACCCTGAGATTAAGAACCTCATGCTCTTCCTATCCCAGCTGGACTTGTTCAGATGTTACACTGAACACTGGTACAAGCTGCCTCAACACATGTGAGCAATCCTGCAAACCCTTCCACATGTTCCATTCAACGAGTGTGCAATATGTGTACCTGTGTACGCAAATAGTTTGGCTGTTTATTCATCCAGTTATTCACATTAAACGTGTGTGCAATCTGCATACACAAATCGTTGAGCTGTACAAATCAACAGGTTACATTCACACCAACACTTGTATGTGCATACATAGAGGCAAACAACTGGTACTTCGGTTACACAGACTCTACACATGTTGAGCATTACCTGTGAATAATTGTATGGCCCAGCTGTTGTATAAACATATTGTACACTTGTTGAATGTAACATGTGAACATTCCTTTTGCCTTAGTTACAGTAGGGACTACAGAGATCTGGAAAAGACGAGTTTTGAGGAGAGAGCTAGAGGAAATCAGGGAGGTGGTCACACAGAGGTATTCTAGAAGGCAGCTGAATGGATAAGGCTAAACAGCAGTAGCAATTTCTCCATCTCTCCAAGTCCATTTTGAGCCAGCTTGCACCGTATTAAGGGGAAATGGCTGGCAGTTCTCAGATGTTCTTTTTCAATTCCGATGTCTCCTTAAGGCCATTTGAGCACCGTGCTAGATGCAGACGGTTTATTCCAAAATATCTTAACTCCTGCTTGCATGCATAGAGCGCAGCATTCCAAGAAAGTTCAGTCCCTGGAAGGGCTTGGTAGTTTTCCATTAGAAGAACAAGAGCCACACTCCAATTACCCACATTTCATGGCTTCTGGCTGAACAAGCTCTCCTTTATGGTCCTGACTCATAAGGAACTGCTTCAGGACAGCTTTTTCTTATGCATCTGCATCCCAACCACTCTACAGAATCTGGTATCCACCTGATGTAACGTGGTGTTAATTAAACATATGTGCTATTCTGGGGCTCTCCTTTGGGGCATTTGCATGTAAATAAGCGTAGTGACAGCTTCCAAGATGATCTTTTATTTGAAATAGTTAGTTTCACAGAATGACAGGTTTACTGTTAATCTTGTTTTCTTTTTCTTTTTCCCTGCATAGGCGTTTAAATACTTTAAACAAATGTGCAATGATGAAGCTGGAGATCAGTCCACACAGGAAGCGGGTAAGTGCCCTTGATGAATCTGTCACAGTACTGTAAAGAATTGGTTGATATTCTGGCTTCCTGTATTTTTACTTGGAAGTAAGCCCCCATTGATGTCAGTGGGTCTTATTCCCTTGCAGGTGTGCATGGGATTCAGTCTGCAGCCCTAAACATACTTACTGTGTCTGCACCATTCAACAAAATGGCATTTCTTTCCAAGTATAAGCATGCATAGGATGACATTGTTCATTCTCTTCCTTTATGATTATCCATGTGGCAAACAAAGGCATCATTGGTCAGACTGATATTCTTTTAACATCAGACTGTCTGTTTTAATGGGCGCAGCGTTGTCAGGATTAAACCTGCCTTTGGAAGCTTCATGCCTGATGGTCCTTATTTTTCAAGATGGAATCTGAGTTTTTTCATCTCCATCAAAGCTGTTCATTACAAAATGGTGGTAAAGATCTGTTAACTGATATCCTGGTACCAAATCTGTGTGAATTTTGGCGCTTTTGCATTGAATAGAGTTTTTTTAATAATAAAAAAACACAGCTGCCAGAGATGTCAAGTATGTGAAATGTCAGCATTTTGTTTTTCAGTCATCTTGACAATAATCTACAGTTTTATAAGGCACATCGCTATGTTATATAGGCTGTTTTTGATCAGTTGCTTAAAGATGGCCAATACAGATAGACATCTGCCCCATGTGGGGCTTGCAGACTGGGCAGAATGAGTTGGCCTCAGTATTACATGAGTTGTTGTTGTTGTTGTTGTTGTTGTTGTTGTTGTTTTATTTGTATGTCACCCATCTGACTGGGTTTCCCCAGCCACTCTGGGTGGCTCCCAGCAGAATATTAAAACACGATAAAACATTGAACATTAAAAACTTCCCAAAACAGGGCTGCCTTCAGATGTCTTCTAAAAATCAGATAGTGGTTTATTTCCTTGACATCTGATGGGAGGGCATTCCACAGGACAGGCACCACCACTGAGAAGGCCCTCTGCCTGTGTAATCCTCTATATGTAGTCTTCTGAATGCAATCATGGGACCATTCCGAAGTGTCACTGTTTTGAAAATGTGTTTGTTTACAAATTTTGTAACGCTTGCTTTTGACTCCCCAAAGTAAGTCCCCAAAGTGGCTGGCAATAGTAAACCAGTTTTTAAAATATCCACATTTAAAGCAGTAAAGTACATTGGGTTGGATTGAGCAATATGCCAACACAAGACATTCTGGCAGAGATACTGTTCTGCGGACTGTTGTGCAAGAGCAAGATTTTGCTACACAACTTGAATTTAGCACAAGCGCATATTGTGATGATCTTGTGCAAGACTTCATGTACATGACCGGGCAACACTCTACATCGTACATCTATTCTGCATAGCCTCAATAACTACATATAAACCTTCTTTATACATTTTTCCATCTGAAACATTAACATACCTACCCAATCCTAGAAATAGCAGCATGAACACCTGAACTTCCTCTGTTCCCAAATGCCCAGAGGAATGAAATTGCCTTAACCAGCGGTTGAAATCTGGTATCTGAAATAGATTTGAAACAGTTACATTCCCATTCATTTAAGGGGAAAAATCAGTCTAAACTTTCAAGAGAATTGAACATTCCCCAAGAAAATGGGAGAAAGTAAATGGAGGTATGTAACAGAAATTCCTTTCTTAGCTATACCCCCTCATTAGTCCTCCTTGGTCTATTCTCCCCTACCCCTTAAAAACAGACTCTTAGCTTTGTTTGGTTTTTATATTGTGCACCAGTGTGTGAAAGAAATGCCACAAACAAAATTATTATGACAGTATAGCAACTAAATAAGTAAGTTACGCACTGTACGTGCTGTTCCATGTCAGCAAAAAGTGGAGGAGCCACTTCTGCAGTCTTGATGCTGCCCTAGCTTTCTAGTTTTAAAAACTTGAAGCGGATCTTCCACGTTCAAAATCTCATTTGAGCACCGCCTGGAAGATAATCAGTGCACGCCATTGTCATGTTGGGCGTGCATTAATGTGCACCCTCAGCTGACTTCTGCTTCTCCCGAGTTCCATGAAGTCAAATATTTAAAATGCCTGAAGCAACGCCTGAAAAAGCATCTTCTCGAGGTCCTCATATACTGATGGCTGCTGAGTTGAGGGAAGGAGGCGACAAGATATGGTAAGAGGCCGGGAGGCATCAACCTGCAGCATTCTCCCACATGGCCTCATTAGTCACACTTGAAAGACCTTTAAGATCAGTAAGGAGTTAAGCTGCTACAATTCAGAACTGCCTCTTAATTGCATTAGGGAAAATAAACAAGAGAGCAGGGCTTGGATGGTCCTGCCCTCGCTGGCACCAGTGGAACATTTTATGCATGCCGCACTTTTCCACTGATCTAAATGGTATCTCGTGTAACTTAATAGAACATCTACAGGGGCTAGTGGCAGCACATAGAAACGGAAAGATTTGTGTAGTTCCTTCTGTTTTGTAAAGCTGTTTTCTTTAAGTTTCAAATGCATAACACACACACACATACACACACACACACATATATATCTCAGCACCTTGTCATGGAACACACTGCTCTGTCTTCAAGCACTTTGCTGCTTCTGAAATTCATGACTGTTTGTAGGGAAAGGACCACATTGTTGTGATACAGCCCCCTATTCTGTAGGGATCCCCACCTCCAAGTGGCAGATTTCAAAAAGTAGGTCTTTCCCCACCTTTTAAAATCCTAGTGAGGGAAAATCTAGCCTTTAGGAAGGGTCTTCTACCCATTAGTCCATCAGGCCGTTAGTCCATCTAGCTCATTGTTGTCTATGCTGGCTAGAACCAGTTCTATTGCAGGATTTCAGACCTGCCTGAAAATGCCAGGGATTGATCCTGGTGTCTTTTACATACAAAACTTTTGTTTGGGGTGAGGAAATACCAGGCATGGCAAAGATGAACCACCCCCTCACCCTGCTATTTCTTCGCTCATAATCTGCCTCTCTCCCAGCTGCTTTTCCTCCTTTTTCAAAGCAGTTTCATGTTGAGTATAGTTTTTATTTGTTGCATACATTGGGTTTCATTATTTATTATTAGTTATCATTTTCACACAATGCAGATAACAGTAAAACGCACAAAACCCCAACCCCCCACCCTCCTCAGGAGATGAGATTACATACAGTGGTACCTCAGGATGCGAACGGGATCCGTTCCGGAGCCCCGTTCACATCCTGAAGCGAACGCAACCCACGACTGCGCATCTGCACGTGCATGGGTCATGATTTGCTGCTTCTGTGCATGCGCCTGACATCATTTTGACCGTCTGTGCATGCGCAAGCGGCAAAACCCGGAAGTAACGCGTTCTGTTACTTCCAGATCGCCGCGGAGCGCAACCCGAAAGCGCTCAACCTGAAGCATATTCAGGTGTATGACTGTATTACCATGAGGCCAGCAACCCTTACAACAACACAATTCCAGTCAGTTTTCCAAATGAGTAAATAAATTATAGCTTGAAATTACACTAGCCAGAAAATTTTGTATAGGCAGACCTCGGAGCGATTGTGGGTTCAGTTCCAGACCACAGCAATAAAGCAAGTCGTACATTTCTTTTGGTTTCCCGGCGCATATAAAGTAATTTTTGCACTATACTATTAAGCCAGCTCCCTGCCCCCCCCCCCCGACTGCAGGGGTGGGAGGGGGAAACCCCAGGTCCAGGCCTAGGCAGTTCTACTCCCCATGGCCAGAAGTGGGGTGGTGGAGGAGGGGGGGATTTCCTTTCCTGGAAATGACTGGCATGCCTGCATCCACACCCGCATCCTCATGAGGAGCACTATCTGCAAAGCACAATAAAACGAGGTATGGCTGTAATGTGAGGGAGATTCTGCCATGTCTTCTTTTGCTGTAAAGGCAGCAACCATTTTGTGTGTGTTCAGTTGACACGCAACTGCTGATATATGGGTCCTTTTGGACCTGGAAGAGAGCAGAAGGGGGACATGGGTTGCCTGCAGACATAATAATAAAGCTATACCCATCTGTTGCAAGTGCATCCTTTTGTTCCACACCCCTCAGAAGCTTTAATTCTTAGAGCCACTTCCGCCCTCCAGAGGAGGTGGGGTTGCGGGCTTCACGCTCCCATCACACATGCGGTGGCTAGAGCCCAGCCCCCGTGCGATTGGGGGAATCCCTGGGCGCGTCACCCCTGGCCAGCCAATTGGCTGGCTTCGGGGGGGGTGGCCTGACCTATTTAAAGGGAGCGCAGCCGGGGATCTCCCTCTTTTGCCCCTTCCAGCTGATTTTCTTATATCATGTGGCAATTGATGCTTTCTTTAAAATAAAATTAAAAAGTCAATAGGACTCCATTGTGCACAGTTACATGTAACATGCAGCCAACATCTGAGTTGGGATATGAACCCTAGTCTCACAGACAGAGGTTGATATTGCATGCACAACTCTACACTGGCTCTGCTCTTCTAATGATCTTCTTGGATTATCACACTGACATGAAACCAGCATCCACTGGCTTACTAAAAAGAGCAGAAAATACTAAAGTGTTCACATCAGTAGGTCATTGTTAGTTGGGATAACATTGATTTGAAATGAACTGTATTGCCATTGGAAGTATTTTATTGCCATTGTTTTTTGTAATCATTGGGGATGTCCTGTTTCATTGCAGAGCGAGGATTCGGATGAAGATGAGCCTTGTGCGATAAGTGGCAAGTGGACCTTCCAGAGGGACAGCAAGAGGTGGTCCAGGCTTGAGGAATTTGACGTCTTCCCCCCGAAGCAGGATGTGAATCCTTCATGCCCAGAAGCGGCTCATCTCAGCAGTGCAGCTAGTCATGGAGGCCTGCTAACTGACCACACCGAACATCAGGAGGTAGTTTCCATCCACAGCATCAGCAGCCACCCAGATGCCTCTCAGAGCGAAGCGCCCACCACCAGAACCAACTCTGTCATCAGTGTTGGCTCCTCAGCCAACCTCGTGGCAAATGAGGACTCCTTCAGCAGCTTGCCCTCTCCTAAAGAGCTGTCAAACTTCAATTTCAACGTGAAAACTAACGAGAAGAATGCCAAGTCCAAAACGAGAAGCCTCTTGAAAAGGATGGAGAGCTTTAAAATAAAAAGCTCCCATCATGGTAAAAGCAAAGCTCCTTCAAAGCTTGGTCTTATCATCAGCGGGCCTATCTTGCAAGAAGGCGTTGATGAAGAGAAACTGAAGCAGCTGAACTGCGTGGAGATCTCCACCCTCAATGGCAACCACATCAACATCCCTATGGTACGTAAAAGAAGCGTCTCCAATTCCACCCAGACCAGCAGTAGTAGCAGCCAGTCGGAAACAAGCAGTGCCGTCAGCACCCCAAGCCCCATCACAAGGACACGCAGCCTCAGCGCCTACAATAAAAGAGTGGGAATGTACCTGGAAGGCTTTGATCCTTTCAACCAATCAACGTTCAACGATGTCATGGAGCAGAACTTCAAAAACAGGGAGGGCTTTGCTGAAGACACAGTCTTCTTCATTCCGGAAGACCACAAGCCTGGGACTTTCCCCAAAGCCCTCTCCAATGGTAACTTTGCTCCCTCGGAGAACAGCACTTCGGTCAACTGGAGAACGGGGAGCTTCCACGGCCACAGCCACCTCACCCTCAGGAGGGAGAACAGTTCCGACAGCTCCAAAGACCTGAGCCTTGGGAAGAGGCGCAATTCTTCCAGCTCCATGTGCAGCCGCCTCAGCATTTACGACAACGTGCCAGGATCTATCCTGTATTCCAGCACGGGGGACCTGGCAGGCCTTGAGAACGAAGACCTCTTTCCTGAGCTCGATGACATCCTGTATCATGTCAAAGGCATGCAGAAAATTGTGAACCAGTGGTCCGAGAAGTTTTCAGACGAAGGAGACTCTGATTCAGCCCTAGATTCAGTGTCCCCATGCCCTTCGTCTCCCAAGCAGATCCTCCTCGATGTGGACAATGATAGGACAATTCCCAGTGATCTTGACAGTACAGGAAATTCCTTGATTGATACGGAAGACTCAACAGGGATCCAGGAAAGAAGAGACTCTGGGGTGGGAGCATCATTAACACGTTCTAACAGGTCAGTAAACACAGACTTTACAGTGGTACCTTGGTTCTTGAACTTAATGCATTCGACTCCCGAAACGGTTCGAAAGCAAGACTTGGCTTCCAATTCACTGCAGGAGCTTCCTGCACTCAAGCGGAAGCCGCGTAGGATGTTTGGCTTCCAAAAAACGTTCACAAACCAGAACACTTCCAGGTTTGCAGCATTCAGGAGCTGTTTTGTTCTGGATCCAAGCCAATCGACTACCAAGGTACCACTGTATATATATTGGTGTATATGCATGCTTGTGTGGCTATAGATACATATATATGTTTGTATTGATACAGTGTACATAGGAAGTGTGATGCTTTTCAACAGCATGTTGGCTTTTATATTTGAGGATGGGATGTAAAGAGGAATCTTAATTTTATTATGTGTTTATTTGGCCTGTTAGTCACATACTACAAGAAGTATTCAACCAAAAGGCTAAGGAGCCCAAAGGGTGTAGCATATAACCAAAACAAGACGTTTCAGTAGAATCCTTTCCATAACTCTTAAAACCCATTTGCATAAAAACTCCTCATGGCACTTTTCCGTTATAAATCACAAACTGCGATTTTCACAAAATGGCATGCACAAAAGTACCGCAAATAAAACCAACAACCAAAAAACATGGCAGAAAGGCACCAGCAAGCTATAGAATAATCGGCAGGAGCAAAACCTGTTTCCCAAAGGCCTGACAATAAAAACCCCTTTTTACAACATTCCTTTTTTAAAAAATGCAGTCCTGTTATAATCATGTTCTGAGTTGAAGATGCAGTTTTACTCTTGAGCGCTGTATATACAAAGAGTGACTATAGAATCCTAAATACATGTGGTAGTGACTGGAAAATTCTACATAGCTCTGTGTCTAGAAACACGTTTTCTGGACTGGTTTATGGTAAAAAATAATAATACCAAAACAAAAAAAAAGCCCAGTTAGCCCAACTGAGGAGTTCTAGAAAGTGCCCTGTCAAATACCCACAAGTCAGAACAAGCATTTTTCCTCTTCTGCGTCATGGCTTCCTCGAATGAATCCTAGGAACTGCAGTTATTTTAAGGGTTCTAAGAGTTGTTAGAAGACCCCTATTTCTTACAAAGAGTTACAATTTCCAGAGCGGTTTGGCAATCAATCCCTCTTCCCAGGAAACTCTGGAAAGTGAAGCTCTCTGAGGGGAATAGAGGCAACAGACTTTGGCAAATTTAGCCTTGCAATATTTTACACACACTGTGCATGCTGTACTTAAGTTCCAAATGTCATCAACATGTGAGATCTTGCAAATGGTACAGCAGGTGCCGGGCTTTCCATTTACTCTGACTTCTAACCATTAAATGTCTCTCTTTCTCCCTCTCCTGAAGGCACAGAATGAGGTGGCACAGCTTTCAGAGCTCCCATCGACCCAGCCTAAGCTCAGCACTGCTACAGATCGACTGCCAGTCTGTGGCACAGATGAACCTTCTGCAGAAATATTCCCTCTTGAAGTTAACTGCCCTCTTGGAGAAATATACACCTTCCAATAAACATGGCTTCAGCTGGTAAGGAGCTGTAAACATCTCTGGGAGGCTAGTCAGAACTTACAAACAGTAAAACATAAAGTGTTCATTCCTTTCTGCCAAAAACCAGTTGATTTTTTTTTAGGTGTGCACTGCCTTTGAAAGTTGCTTAGACTTGGGGTTTTGGCATGGGTGAATGGGTGATAGGTAAAATTGAAAACACCCTCTAAAGTTTATCTTTAAACTTTGAGTTGGACCATATTCATGTCCAGTTACCCCTTGCCAGATAAATGCTTTTGAAAAACCCTGCATTGCCTAATCTCTATTGCTGGTTCTGTAGGATTCTGAAGCAGTCCAAAGTACAATATAAGTTCTGTGGTGTGGTATTTGGTGTTTTTTTTTTTTTTGTTCCCAATTCTACATTTCTACCATCTGGTCTTTCTCCTCCTTCCTTTCCCTGGGAGTCACAGAGAGTATTTAAACTCCAGCATCAAGGCTCCTCCTGTTCAAAGACTGTTATTATGGGAGCTGTGCTAAATACAGAAGTTGTTTGTTCTGAAAGACAGAAATAAGTATTGACCAGTTTATCCCTGCATGCTTCAGATTCTCTGCAGATGTCGTAATGTGTGTTTCTTTTTTGCATTCCGCTGCTGTGTGTTGTGACAAAATGCAAACTATGCGAGCGCTCGGGTCAATAGCGCCGTATGTTAAAACCCCGTGGAAATACAAATGGGGGGGTATTTGCACGGGGAGGATTAGTCATTCATAAACCTAAAATGCTGTTTACGTAGCTATAGTGTGAATTTAGAATTTTATGGGTTTTGCCTGCTATGCTAGTATTTGCTTTGCGCGCCAACTTGCTTCCTAGCTGATCTCAATTTAAAACTCAGAACGGTTTTATTAAGTGAAATAGCAGGGCTCTGGAATTTCTGCGGGTAGATTTTTCCTACTCGTCAAAACCAAATGGAAAGGCCTTTTACCAAAGTGGGTGGGTGAAGTGATAGAGAAGGAAGGTGCCGGGGTGGGGTGGGGGGGAGAAACACGCCTGAAAGGTCATTTGTTGAACTGAAACTTGTTGCTGGCAAACGCCAGCTTATTACATCAGTTTCCTGCTGCGACACAGGCTGGTGGGTGGTGGGACGGGGTTTGAGGGCTTTCTAAAGCGAGTGGTTAACATACAAAAAGCTCATTGTTCACATGTCTATCTTTCCCTAGAGCCCTAAAGAAGTCAGATTATAAAGGGTCATTGACTGCTAGATTTGCGTTTGACTCTTACAGGGGTTGACATGGCCACCCTCATTCTGCCTGGTACCTTTTAGGCACGGCAGATTCTGGTACACAAGGTTAACTAATTAACTGAAAAGATCCATCTGCTAATGGAAGGATTCGTCTATTTCGTTGATACTATCAGATTTATTCTGTAGCTGCACAGTTAAGCATGTTTGATGCAGCCAACTTAAATAATTTGACATGGCCATATCCCCAAGGAGTTGTCACCTAGTTGGCATATATCAAATGGTTTTGCAGCAAGCGATGAGAAAGATAAGAGCTCCCACCTGCACAGAAGTGTTGTTGCTAATGCTGATCTTGCAAACATTTTGTAATACTTTTTATTCCGCCAATCTGATGGATTATTCCGCCACATCTTCATGTGCCTTCTCCACATAAGAGAGGAAATTATATTAACTGGGATGCAAAGACGTTGTCTCTGTTGACGTTGGAATGTTGGCTACAACTTCTTTCCCAACTTGACTCATGAGTCAGCTGGGGGGTAAAAATATAGGAGCGACCTAGGATTGGAAGATTAATCTCCTAAAAGCATTAAATTGGTGGGGATGCAAGATAAGGGCACATTTGTTGTTTGTTTGTGGTGACTCTTCCAATATGTTACAGTAAAAGAGAATGAAAAGCCATTCAAGTTGTTATTCTAAGTGAAATATAACTTTTGTTTTGTTATATCTCACTTCCTTCAGCATTTGGGATGGGGTGGTAGTTCTGATCAGTACATAGGTGGAAGGCATCCAAGAATCCTACTTACACAGCCTTGAGCTCCATGCTAGGGGAAATGCAGTATATAAAAATGCAAAAATAAGAGTAATAAAATGCATGTTTATTTAAGTTTTAATTTAATAAAAAGCAGGTGTCTAAATCAACTATATTCTTTGTTTGCCTGTCTGTCTATATTCTTTGTTCGCCCATAAAACCCCTTAAAATCTGTTAATGGTTCTTCTCCTTACCTTGTGTCTCTCCCCCCATTTAACCTAATGGAATGTCAACTCAGTGCCACAATCAAGATTTCTATATTGATATTCTCAGTGAGTCAAGTCGATGTTTTCTGGTGTGCTACTTATTCGACAGCCCGCAGATAGAAATAGAAATGTGAGATGTTTTGGAAAGAGACAGCACACTTGGAAGCTTGTTAATCTTGACCGTATTCCTTCTCTTCTGCAGGGCTGTGCCAAAGTTTATGAAAAGGATCAAAGTTCCAGATTATAAAGACCGAAATGTGTTTGGCGTTCCCCTCACCGTTAATGTCCAGCGTACAGGACAGCCTCTTCCTCAGAGCATCCAGCAAGCCATGCGATACCTTCGCAACCACTGCCTGGATCAGGTTAGATTCCTTGCTCTACTCCTGGTTTCAGGCTGCCTCATGATCCCAGAACTTTATTTTCACAGCTGTTCACAAGTCCTTTTGTCTTCTTGTTTAAGTGAGTCAAACAAATAGGTTTGGAATTGGACTATGAGCTTCAGACTCAAAAACAATTTCTGCCATTCTCCTCCATCCTATATCAGTGTATCCGACAAAAATAGCTGTGTTGTACTACTTCAGACTCTGGGGGGGGGGGCAGGGGGCAGCGGCATATTTGCATGTTCTTCCACATGTGGATCAACTGCTTACCTTTGGAAAGGTTTTGATGTCCAGGAAAAGCTTGTGTGATACCTTCTTCCCTGATTGTTTGACATGGCAACTAGAATTCTGGTTTCAGAATCCTCACGCATTATTAACTGCAAGCACAATATACCCTCAAATAAACGTCCCTGTTCTTTTTGTCGCATAGGTTGGGCTTTTTCGAAAATCTGGAGTCAAGTCAAGAATCCAGGCGTTGCGACAGATGAATGAGAGCTCAACAGGCAAAATAAATTATGAAGGGCAGTCTGCCTATGATGTGGCCGACATGCTGAAGCAATATTTCCGCGATCTGCCAGAGCCACTCATAACCAACAAACTTTCAGAGACTTTCCTACAGATCTACCAATGTAAGTCCTGGGTTGTTTGTAGTTTCATTTGTAGCCATTCTCAAGTAGCCACCTCTCCTTGCAATGCAGAGCATGTCCCGTTTGGGACTGAAACGAAGTGCGAGCCCGAGATTGTAAGCAGCAATTGTAAGCGACACGAGTTGAGTGCTGCGTTCTGGTGGGTGAGCGATTTTCGGCACCCCCCCCAAAAAACAACAACAATTAAACAGCCAATCGCTGCTTACAATCTCAGGCTCGCACCAAAAAACCATTCGCGCGTCCCCTCAGCACTACCCGTGTATAAGACGAGCCTACATTGTGAACTTCATTTTGGGGTCAAAATTGCTTGTCTTATACACAGAAAAATACGGTATGTAGTATCAATGTGCATATTATGAAAAATTCACATGCCCCATGATGTGAGGGGCAGGCAGAAGTGGCTATTCCTCATTTGTTTGCATAGTGCTGTGATCAGATGTATCTTGTATCATCTGTGTTTGCCCAGAGCAGTCTTGCCCAGCCTTGGCTCTTGTCCATCATCCCAGCCAGCTTGGCCAATAGTAAGGATGGTGGACATTGTAGTCCCAACAACAATGTCCTGGTTTGGATAAGGCAGATCTAGTGTTCCTCCTGCTTTCCCAGCTTGCCCATCCTTTCTAAGCCTCCTCTGCTTTCTGCTGCACCCCAGTCTGGTACCAACCATCTAGGCAGTGTGTGACCTCCATGCTATGTATCCATCGTTTGTGGATTGGGGCACTAATCCCACATTGGTGTTGAGAAGAGGAATAAAATATGACATCTCCGACCCGTCTTAAAACACACAAGAACAGGAAAACATAACCTCATGACATCAGCTTGGGCTGATATGGGTTAGGTAGTGGGAGCACCTGCCTTCATAAATACAATGAGAATTCTCTACTACCGGACTCCACCGTCATCATCTGAGGCTCTTCTTCATGTGCCTTCTCCACATAAGGTCCTGAGGGTGTCAACACGAGAGCAGGCCTTTTCTGCAGTGGCCCCTCATTGGTGGAATGCTCTCCCTGGGGAGGTTCATCTGGCATTCCTTATACATCTTTAGGTGCCAGGCGAAAATGTCCCTCTTCAACCAGGCCCTTGGCTGATTAATATTCTACAGCCTTTTAAATGTGTGGGAGGGTGGGGTTATTGTTTTGTCGTTGAGAGCCAGTATGATGTAGTGGTTAAGAGTGGTAGACTCGTAATCTGGGGAACCGGGTTCACGTCTCCGCTCCTCCACATGCAGCTGCTGGGTGACCTTGGGCTAGTCACACTTCTCTGAAGTCTCTCAGCCCCACTCGCCTCACAGAGTGCTTGTTGTGGGGGAGGAAGGGAAAGGAGAATGTTGGCCGCTTTGAGACTCCTTCGGGTAGTGGTAAAGCGGGATATCAAATCCAAACTCTTCTTGTTTCTGTTTTAGCTATCTATTTTTGCTATTACAGTGGTACCTTGGGTTACATATGCTTCAGGTTACATACGCTTCAGGTTACAGACTCCGCTAACCCAGAAATAGTGCTTCAGTTTAAGAACTTTCCTTCAGGATGAGAACAGAAATCGTGCTCTGGCAGCATGGCAGCAACAGGAGGCCCCATTAGCTAAAGTGGTGCTTCAGGTTAAGAACAGTTTCAGGTTAAGTACGGACCTCCGGAACGAATTAAGTACTTAACCCGAGGTACCACTGTATCTCATGTTTTTATCTTGTGAACTGCCCTGAGATCTTTTGGTGAAGGTATCTAAATCTAATAAATCAAATAAATACTAGCGAACATTTGGCCCACCCCTTTGCGTCTTGGCTGATGGTGAGAGGCAAGAGCTACTTGCCTCCAGATCTCATCCTTCCCTGAATTTTTGTGTTCCTTTCTTCCATGTACGCAACTCCCCCAAGCGGAGCACACTCCACAATTTGAGACCACTTCCATGAGTCCCTTGAGTGGCTTTTGGATATTTTTCAACCCCTGGTGCATCAAAACAAATCAAGATCTCTTACTATTTTGTCAGTCGTCGTCTCCGCCGCCACTGGCCGTATTTTTCATTTTTTTAAAAAGGACATTTGCTATTGAAAGTATTTGTTGTGCTCTGTAGCCATGGATCTGTGCAATGGTATGTGTCGGTACATTAGGGATGACTCCCCACCCAGTCTTCACTGACTACATCATTGTTCGATGAAGCAATCCTCTCTGCTTATTGAAGTACCGTCTGGATATTTTGTGGTGCCAAAGTTGGGAACCGTTTTTAAGGGCTATTTGTTTTAATTGCCTCCCCAGTTGAGGAGCGTGTTTCACTGGTGTGTATGGATTTTTGCTGGAGTCCAGGTTGGCTGAGCTTAGTGTTTGCATTTTCGTCGCCACCCATGTTAATAAATCGAAGGAGGGCCTCCCCCCCAATCTAATTTAACAGCCCTTTTAGCGAGTCTGCAGAAGTGTGTGGCTCTCAAAATGAAATTCTAAATTTAACTCTGGAATATGCACAGCTTTGTTTTACTGTTGAGTCTCTTGCTAGGCAGGAAATACCTGAGGGCAGTTAAGCTGTTGACTAAAAAAAAAAAGTGGGGGGGGAGGGAAATCCAGTCTTGTGCCATGAATGGTATGCAGCGCTCTGAAGGAAATCGCTTCAGACTCGAGTCAGAAATATTTGAAGCTAAGAGTTTGCTTTGGGACGCATTCGTGCTATATGTGTGGAAAATCAATGACTTGACGAGAGGGTTGCTAATCTTGTGCAGATGTGCCAAAGGACCAGCATCTCCAGGCGATCAAGGCAGCCATTATGCTTCTACCAGATGAGAACAGAGAAGTCCTACAGATCCTCCTATACTTTTTGAGTGACGTCACGGCCGCTGTGAAGGAAAACCAGATGACGCCGACAAACCTGGCTGTGTGCTTAGCGCCTTCGCTTTTCCACTTGAACACCCTCAAGAGGGAAAATTCTTCCCCAAGGCAAGTCTCCAGGTAGCTCAGTCCTCTGTTCCTTCCTGGCGTCCTCGCTGGTGGTTTGTTGGGCACTTAAATAAGCCTTTCCTTAAGACACTTTGAACTCTTTCCCCCTTTTTTAAAAAATCAGTCTACCTTTGGGCTAGTGCAAATTCTTCCCACTGAGCAGTGGAAACAGGTTGAGGGGACTTTTAAGGGAAAGGTGCTACTGATTATGCCTGTGATGATCACGCAAGGCATTTTTTAAAATTCTGCATTCAACATGATGATGAACACGTGTGCTAAATTCATCTGGCCATTCCATTACATGGTTGAAAATGAAGATCACGTTTAGACCTAGAGCGCAAGATTTATTATCAGCGTTCAGGTGTTGTCCCTAGCTTTTTCATTTCATATTACTTCATTCACACAGGAAAGCACACCTTGGCGCTCCCAATATAGTCCTGACAACTTTTCTTTCATCACAACTAATTAATGGTGATTGCGTTAACAGGGTGATGCAGAGGAAACAGAGTCTGGGGAAACCCGATCAGAAAGATTTAAATGAGAATTTGGCTGCAACGCAAGGTCTGGGCCACATGATTGCAGAGTGTAAGAAGCTGTTTCAGGTAAATATTCCACTATACACGTCTTCCTTGGGTCTTTTAATATCATGCAATATGCTAAATTGCATTGTCTAGTTATTGACCTGATAAGACTGGCAACCAGTCTTATAGTGAGTCATCGTGTCTGTAGTTTTGAACCTTCCAACCATTTTATCCTTCTTGTTCCCATACCCTCAGATCCCTGAAGAAATGAGTAGATGTCGGAATTCCTATACGGAGCAAGATCTTCGGCCTCTGAGCTTGGAGGAACTAGGCAAAACTAATAACTCTGAGCCTGCTGACTACCGTTTTTACATCCAGGACTGTATGGATGATTTGCTTAAGGAGATTAAGGATAAATTTAAAGGCTGGGTCAACTGTTCCACCTCGGAGCAAGCAGAGCTTGCCTACAAGAAGGTATATTAGCACAACTCCAGGACTGTTGTTAAATCTCGATGCATTTCACATAGAAAGTGAAATCACAGAGAGAGTACATTTGGAAAGGGGGGAAATAATGACTGCCTTAAACTTGGCAAACTTCAAATAATATTCCCACTCACTAGGGCTTCTCCCAAAAGTGAGAAAGATGGAACAAACTGATCTGATCTGAAATCATTTTGCAGAGCTGATTGCCAGCAAAACGTTAAGCTTGAGCCAATGATGAAATCATCCAAAGTTATTAACATTTCAGGGAAGGTCAAACCAATGTAGCATTTTATGGGCGAAAATGATATGTGGACTGAGGGGCAGTATAGAATTTAAGGCCTTTGCCAAGCAGAAAATTCAGGTCTGGTTTATACATGGAGTCAGAAGCCTCCAGTTGACTGCAGCAGAGATATTCCAGCTCTCCTCCAGAACTGCCACCATGGTCTACTCGCTTGCCCTCTAGCAGCAGTCCTGCTGGCAGGATCAGTAAAGACAAGGGAACTACAGCCAAAGGAAGATAGCTGCTACAATCATCAAAGGGCTTCTGACCACACCATTTCTTATGTGGCCCATGGGTTGCACTTAGGATCTGTTCACCCCCTGCAATTCTTTAACAGTGCAGTCCTAAGCATGTCTATTCAGAAGTAAGTCTTTTTGTACACAGTGGGGCTTATTTCCAGCTAATTGGAATTTCAGCCTCAAGAGACTGAACTCAGTGGATCACTTCAGAATAAGTGCTTTGAGGACAAATTCCCACAGATACTATGCACCAGACATAACTTAGACATTTGCACAGTAACTAAGGTAAAGGGATCCCTGACCATGAGGTCCATTCGTGACCGACTTGGGGGTTGTGGCACTCATCTCGCTTTATTGGCCGAGGGAGCCAGTGTACAGCTTCCGGGTCATGTGGCCAGCATGACTAAGCCGCTTCTGGCGAACCAGAGCAGCACATGGAAATGCCATTTACCTTCCCGCCAGAGCAGTACCTATTTATCTACTTGCACTTTGACGTGCTTTTGAACTGCTAGGTGGGCAGGAGCAGGGACCGAGCAATGGGAGCTCATCCCGTCGCGGGGATTCGAACCACCAACCTTCTGATCCGCAAGCCCTGGGCTCTGTGGTTTAACCCACAGCGCCACCCGCGTCCCTTGGGCAGTAACTACTATATATTAAAAAGAGGCTTGATCCCTTTCTTTGTTTTCAACTTGGCTCAGTTTTGAATTTACACTTTCAAAATTAATCAGGCTTAAAGGGCTACCTTGTTGAGCATAGTTAACTGTGTAAGCATATATAGCTACCTATGGTGACAATGTTTTCCAGGTTTCCGAGGGTCCACCTCTCCGGTTATGGAAATCCACGGTTGAAATCCCTGCAGTTCCTGAAGAGATCTTGAACCGTTTACTTAAAGAACAGCATCTTTGGGATGAAGATCTTCTGGATGCTAAAGTGATTGAGACTTTGGACAGCCAGACTGACATATACCAGTATGTACAGAACAGCCTGGCACCCCACCCAGCCAGAGACTATGTCGTCCTAAGGTAATCTTGCAGATTTCATCCCTGGCAGATTTATGAAGGACAGAGCCTGCAAAACCCTTTTATCAATACAGCTAGCTTAAAATGTAGATATATTGATTCATCTACTGATTTGTTTATTTTTTAAATGCCTCCACTACCTGAAATGTATGAAGCCTACATTTAAGCAAGCTCTTCATTTAAAAAGAAATAGGTCAGTCCGCTATGTTAAAATTAATGGTTGCTGGCTGATACATACAAACTTGTTTTCTACAGGGTAGATTTATATGTACTAGTAGCAAGAATGTTACAGCCTACTTTTTTTTTTTTACTGCCAATGAGATTTTTAATTTAAATTATTTGGAGACATTCAGATTTTTAAGCTTTGACAACTTGCATTTCTGAATGTTTATTTGTTTTTAACGTCCTCTTGGATTTACTTGTTCTGTAAGTTACGTTGTAAAGGCTATTGGCGGCAAACAATAAAAACCTGGCTAGCTGGCATCTACGCAGTCTTTTGTTATAAAGCTGTTCTTGTTCCTAACAGGACTTGGAGGACAAATTTATCTAAAGGCGCTTGTGCACTTTTAAGCTCCTCGGTGGACCATGACCGTGCTGCAGTCCTTGGCGTAAGAGTGAATGTGCTCTTGTCCAGGTATCTCATTGAACCTTCTGGATCAGGAAAATCCAAACTCACCTATATGTGCAGAACTGATTTAAGGTAAGCCTTTTTCCTTCACTTTTTCCTCTTCCGTTGTTTTAACCTCCAAACCCTGTTAGAAGAATTAACTGCCGTATGGCCCAGAATCAGCTGTGTTGTCTTTCCCCTTCCCCATTTGTATAGTGCAGAAGAGACGGTGATTGGTTTTATTGATTATTTTAAATGGCCAACTTCACAAACGATTCACACAAGAACTCCTTGCAATCCCACCGCAGAGATGTGCAACGTGTTCAAAAGCAATTCCTCTTGGAAGTCTGGTCCCTCCATCACAAATTCCACCCCCCGCTTGTGGATTTGGGGTGCTTTCGTTTGCACTTCCATTTATTTTGTTTGCAGTTGGTGTGCATATTTATGTGAATGCATACCTTGCTCATAATTGCACATTGCATGCGATGTGGAATCTCAAATCATTAACAGAACAAGAATGTGGTTGTCTCAGGTCCATTGCCAGCTTAATGGTAAGACACCTTCGCTGCATGCAGAAGGTTCCAGGTGGGCATCTCCAGGGAAGGCAGGGAACGCCCCCAGTCTGAAATCCTGGAGAGCGCCTGCCAATCACTGTAGACATTAGGCAGTTAGATGGACCAATGGCAGCTTCCACAGTTCCCTATCCCTTCTCCCCAGCAACTGAATACTTGTTCCAGGGATTCCTGTTCCATCTCTTGTTTCTTCCAAGTTACATCTGCTATGACCAGCTTCAAGCATGCATTTTCTTTCTTGGAAACAGGGGCCACAAACCTGACTGGTACACAAAGGCGTTTGGACACTTGTGTGCAGCCGAAGTCATTAAGATCAGAGACTCTTTCAGTAATCAGAACCTGGAGACGAAAGAAGCAAAGTCCAGGTGACGACTGAAGCAGACCAACGTGGCCGCAACGTGAATAGATACTTCCAGGAACTGTTGATTGTTACAGAACGGGCCACAGGGTGGCTTAATAAGTCTTGCCATGAAGAAAGTGTGTCTGGAATGGGCCCGGGATTCTCACTTCCAACGTCTGTGGCAAACAGTACATTTTCAAAGCTGCTTCCTATCGGTATTAGGCCTATACTGTAGGCCTTGACTGGAATATATTGGATGGTGCAACCTTTTTCTTTCTTTTTTTCTAATAATACTATACTATGTTGCTTAGACAGTGTGAATTGCTTCTGAGAAGCAAAACCCTTCAGACTTTAAATATATATTTCTGGATTGTAGTGGAAATGATTCTTTCCTATATAATGTTAGGTTTGTTGTATGTATCTGTGTGCCATTTGTTGAGGGACTGTTGCATCCACTGGATTTGTTGGCACTCATCCATGGGGTCTCGCTAAAGCAAGTGAAGGAAGGTTTGCACAGAGGCAGAGGTGTGAATGTGTAATTGTTGAGCGGAGTTGTAGAAAACAAGAGTAGGGGAATTGGAAGTGTCTGGGACACTCAAGAGCATTTGGGAAGATTTTAATCTGTGAGGGGGAGGTAGGCCTAGGAGTTTTTTGTCTGTCCAACAGACCATCGCAAGCTAGTCTTTGCTCATGTGTACTGTTATTACTTGTGTATATCAGAAAAGGAAAATGGAGGAGCTGCCCCAAACATGGCAAGGAAAGCTGAAGCTCAACACTTGCAAATGAAGATAGCGGAAACGAATAATATGAATGCCTGATGCATTTCAACATGTGTCTTTTGCATCACCTTGGGTTGTATTCCATCATGCAAGGACTTCTGTTTGCACGACAGAACTTTGCCTTCCTCTTTTCTCCCTGCACAACCCCCCAAATCTGCTCCAGAGAGTTGGGGAAAACCCCAGAACAGATTTGGAGTGTGTATGGGGAGGGGAGAAAAAGGGGGTCCATTGCACTAGCAGAAATCCTTCATGAATGGAACAATTTTGTTGGATACCAACCCAATCCTCCTAAAGATGAGTTTCCTGTTTTAAAGTTCTCAGAACCTTTTCACCTGCGTTACACCCAGGTAAATCTGAGTCTACAAAGAGTGTGTGTGAAACCTGGAGTTGTGGTTGTTGACAGCTTCCTCAAAAGTGCACCTGCAGAAGACCTGTATTTGCCATGCTCATGTTTTATATTGGGGTTCTTCAAGCTTGGGGTCCCAAAGTTGAACTGTAACTCCTATCATTCCCTGCCAGCCAAGCCACCAATCAAGAGAGGAGAGGAGTTGTAATTCTGACAACATCTGGGGACCCAAGCTTGAAGAACACTGCTTTCCATTTGCAGGTGCACTCACTTAGAAGCCTCTTGGGCACATATTTCAAAAAACGAAATGCGTGTGAAGCTGACATCACCCATATTTCTACTTCTCTGGTGGAGAATGTCTTGAGTTAAGGTCCTTGAAAAAGATATACGTTGAAAGGTATTGGGTATTTTTTTACTTTCAAGCGCAAAGTTTTCTCCACAGCCACCTTCCTGCACAAGTACCTGTTGAAAGTATTGGCTGTGGTCTTTTAACAATCCTCTTTTTTGAATGAATCTCATAGGAATGAACGGAAAGCTTGTGGCATGAGCTGAAACTGCTTTCAGTGGCTTGAAAAGTCAGCACTGGAATACGTCATAACTGGAGCATTCTCAAGTTCTAAAGCGATTCATTGTAATAGAATACCGTGTTAGGAGTTGGAAAGTCTTCATATATTCCACTCCACTATAACCATATAACCTCATTTTATCCACTTAGTTTGAAGGGAGGGGACCTCTAAAACGTTCAGAGGTTTGGATAAGAAAGGGTACTGTGGGTATCGGATTATGTGGTGTAATGTAAAGGACTGCAGGTTAGGATAAACAGGAGAGTCAGAGTGATGAGGCCTACCATGCTTCAGGTCAGCCACCTTTACAAGAAACCTAGACCTATAAACTCTAAACATCCTCTTTGGGGGAAGCAAGATAGCCATAATAAAAGAGTAACGATACCTAGGAAAGATGTGTATAGAATTGTGCTGTTATTTTGCCTTCCTTAGAAGCTGTAGATGCAATTGTCTGGTGCTGAGGTCATGTTTGCGGGCTTCTCTTAGGCATCTGGTTGGCCGCTGTGAGAACAGGATTCTGGACTAGATAAGCCATTGGCCTGATCCAGGCAGCTTCTTATGTTCAGATACAGTTCAATGCATTCTAAGGGGTTGGGTTAAATGACCCTTTGGATCCATTCCAACTCTTCCATTCAATAATCTTGTGTTTCTGTGAATGTGGAATATGAAATACAGTATCCCCCAAAGCAGGGCTTGGACCCTTGCTAGGACTATTGCCTTCTTCCTACCAAAACCCAATCTAGAGTCCCATGTAGGTCGCAGGTTCGATCCCCATATGGAACAGCTGCCTATTCCTGCATTGTAGTGGGTTGGACAAGATGATCCTCAGGGTCCCTTCCAACTCTACAATTCTCTGATTCCATGTAAGGGTTGTTCTTTGATGTAGAAATGCAGTATTAGCACAGAGATGTGCTGAACTAATGTAAGGTGAGATTGGGGGGGGTGTAGATTGGAAAGTGATTTTTTTCAAAGCAAGGACTTTTTATGCAGTCATCCATAATATCTCTACACTCGGACTCTGCCCCTGGAACCCAGCCTTTTAGCCCTCCCTGCAAAAGCTAGAACAGGCTGCTCACGCACACACAGGTGAGTCTTACAAAAGATGGAGTGACCTGCTGGACAGTTGGTTCCATTTTGCTCACCCTCTCAACCTAGAAAAGCCCTTGTGACCTTGTGGTTGCCTTCTTTCACCATCCCAGGGCAGTGATGCAGCTGGAAGCAGCCCATTGTTACCATTGACAGTGTTATATTATTATTTTTTACTTTTTTTAAGGGGTTGTGTGATGAAGAATTATGGTGTGTTGGTGGATTGTGTCTGGTTCCTAGCAATCGCCTACGTCCACATGATTGGCCCATTTTTATTTCATAGTGTTTTATGTCACTGTGTCTCTCGTTTGCTTCTCTCCGTTCATGTTCTGTTCTTTGCAAGTTGCAGTAGGACATGCATGCAAAGTTCAGGTGAGGAACAATGAGAGAGAGAGAAGATTTGCAGTGAGGGACACCCGGCAGGCTGGGGAACTTCTTTGTGTGTTGATCTGCTTGCAGAATTTCAGGGAGAAGTTTCCAGGGACAACAGTCCTTGTGATATCTGTGCAGAAATCATGAAGAACGTAGCAGGGATTTTAGTAACTCTCTTGATGTGGTTTGCGTCTCTGTACCAAACCCAGAGGTTAAACCCTTTGCCCTTGCAAGGAATACTGCCAAGGATCAAATATGGATTGGAACCAACTGTTTCAGATGTGACCTGAGGGATAAAGCTGTTCTAGATCAGTAGTCTTCAACTTTTCAGACCCAGGACTAGCTTTTAACCCAAACATGCATGTGGAGACCCATTGCTCTCTCTTTTTTTAGCATATATTTGGATGGTGTTAGTGCTACTATTGCAACCCACTATAGACCAGGCCACTACCAAGTAAAGAATCCCAACCCACCAGTTGAAGACGACTGTTCTAGATCATGCCTTTAACCCTTAACCTGGGTGGGGGAACCCAAAAAGTTTCTTAGGTAGTAAATCCAGTTGAGAGATTACTGCCATGTATGTGTGCTAAGGATTGCACCAGTAGCATATCTCACCAATAGGGAAGCCTTGTGTATTCTTTGTATACTTTTTAAATGTTCAAATGTGTGTGTAAAAAAAATAAAAGTATGTTGTACATACCAGTCTGTTGTAAACATGTACACTTGCTCACAGTTTATTGTCCAACATAGATAAAGCATGAAAATAATTATTTAAAATATAGTTGTATTTATACCTCAGATATTCTTTTGAGGGGCAGGGTATTTGTACCTCAAGTTGGCTACCCTCCCCCCTCCCCTGTAAATACGTTCTATACGATTAAGGTCTAAGTAAAAGAAGAAAAGGTTTATAACTTGCTATTATATGTCTGTACAGAATATAATCAATAAATGCACTATTAAATGTTCATGTTTGTGAAACACCTCTTTTCTCCACCGCATGGTGGATAAGGCTACAGTGACTGCTATGCTGCTATGGCCTATGTTCTTCCTGTACTGTGGGAGGCAGTACATGCCTCTGTATACCAGTTGTTGGGGATCTCAAGGGGCAGTGCTATTTTTCTAGAAAAAGAGATGCCAGAACTGAGTTCTGGTGAGTTTTGGCTGAAAAAAAAGCCCTGCCAAGAGAGCCAAGGGCTGTTTGCGCTCAAGCCCTGCTTACAGCTTCTATTTGTTTGGCTGCTGTGAGAACAGGATGCTGGAATAAAGGGGACTTTGATCCAACAGAGCCAGTGTGGTGTAGTGGTTAAGAGCTGTAGTCTCGTAATCTGGGGAACCGGGTTCGCGTCTCCGCTCCTCCACATGCAGCTGCTGGGTGACCTTGGGCCAGTCACACTTCTTTGAAGTCTCTCAGCCCCACTCACCTCACAGTGTTTGTTGTGGGGGAGGAAGCGAAAGGAGAATGTTAGCCGCTTTGAGACTCCTGAAGGGGAGTGAAAGGCGGGATATCAAATCCAAACTCTTCTTCTTCTTCTTCTTCTTCTTCTTCTTCTTCTTCTCCTCCTCCTCCTCTCCATGCACTCTTACTCATTTAATGTTGCCTATTTTTCTCACATGCTATGAAAAGCTGCTCCCTAAACCAATGACAGGCAACATCCCAAATCTACTGTGCAGGCAATGTCTAGCCTCTCATAGTGAGCAGGCTGTTTATCCAGCTATGCAAAAGAAAAAGCCTGTTGTAGATACAGCTGGTTTTCGTCTCTTCATGCCCATCTAGCAGAACCCCCTCTTATTTTGGTTTAATGATCTATTGAGGCCTTCAGCTGACAAGCACTCTTGTGTGAATCAGCCCTTTTAAGTATTAAGTAATCTATGGATCAGATTGCGAGTTTCAGTTTATCAAACTGGGTCAACACAACATTACATGAGGAACTTACTCTAGCTAAACTCAGGGCAGGCTATCTCCCAATTTTAAGTCCGTCTGTTGCTGGCAGAGCTGTTAAAGAGGTTTTCACAGCAGAGAGGAAACGCTGTTGTCCTGTCCAGGAAACATGTAGGTTCCTTCAAAACAAAAGGGACAAAAGACCAAACGATAAATTGGAGAAAGTTTAATGTTTGCAAAGGAAGGAAGTCGAGAACTGGAATGTTGGGCTTCATGTGTCACTTTGCAATGCTGTCAAAGAAAGTAGTCAATTAAAACGCCACTTTTGTGCCTCCAGAAGGAGAGGTTCCATTTTTGTCTCCTCCTGCGGTAACGTTCTGAATGCCACATCGATAATTAAGTAGCTGCTGCTGTGCAGCAAAGAAGGCATCTCCTTTTGCAGCTGTTTTTCCAGCTGTGAATCCAAAGAAATGTCAGAGCATCCTCTCCCCCCCCCACACACACACCAGCACCCCACCTCCCCATCATTTCAATGGGATGTTATGGAATTATAAGGTCTAAGATATAAAATAAATGTACCAAGCAAACACATACATCAATATAGAAACCGCATGTCTGAAACAGTACGGGAAAAAGTCCTGAAACCATTTTGTCTCTCCCAAATTGACCTCAAATGTTTCTCTGCAAGGAGGGAGGAAATGAGAAAAACCTCCCCATTGTCTCTTTGCTCGCAAAACCTGCCTTAAGGGCACATTTAAGATATGAATAGGGCGAGCCTGAGCCCTGGACTCCGGAATTAAGTATTTATCATCACAAAAGAATAACCAGGCTAGCCAGGTAAACCCATATGTGTCAGACAGGATTCTGTTGTAGACTGCCCCTTCTCTGATGTATGTATGATGTATTGGGGGGTGGTCTTGGGCTCCAGGGTGGGCAATTTCAAAATGTCTATATAAGGGCTCACGTGCCATTGTTCTGGGTCCCTCCTGCCTCCGGCGTGTGGTTGTGAGCACCCTGTTGCAATGGTTAATAAAGATCAGGCTTACTAGCTGCTTTGCATCTCAATATTCTCTGGTTGGCCTCTGTTATTTTCTCCTACCCATAGAGAACCTACAAAAGGACTCTATATGGGCTCTTGGGTAGCCCATAAGGGAAAAGGAGCAGTTTTTTCTTATAACAGGGACATATCCTCCCAACAGAGGAGCTCAGGAAGGCGACACGGGAAAGTGGTGACAGGTGTCCTAGATGGGTAGCCTTTTAGAGTTAATTGTGATTACTTGGAAAGAGGATTCTGTTGTGCTATGAAATGACTTCGCCACTCACATAATTGCACGCATCAATCTTTTTTCAAAGGGTAAACTTGATGCTTCCAAATGGGCAGCAATGAAATTGTAATAATGAGCCTTTATAACCAGTTTGGGAGAGTTTTGTGTTCCTCAGCTGGCTAAGTGGAGCACGGAGTCTTGTGCAAAAGGGGAAACACCTGGTGAAATGGCAGGGCATCAGAAGTCCCCAAAAGGAACTGTGTTCATCACCATGATGTCATAGGCCCCACCCAACAGGTCAAGAATGGGGAACTGGATTAAGCCCGTGGGCCAGATCCAGAACTACTACCCCTCCACCACCTACTGGCCACTTTGATAAAGGCCACCCACCTGCCCACCTGCAAAGCAAGAAGGGGGAATAGCCTCATGCTAGTGTGAGCTCTTAAGGCTGATGTTCTAATACCTTCTGAAATAAATTTACTGAAACTAAATTCTAACTTATCTCTCTTGTATATTTTTGTGCCTTGGAAAAACGGTCTCTTAGAGAAGAGCCCTATTACAAATCCTCAATAGGCTGAGCACCCTCTAGTGGAAAATGATGTCTGTACCTATAACTGCTGCCCATAGTTATAAAACAGCTGCTAAGCTGTTGCACTTATTACTACCCAAGAGAAAGTGTTTACTATGAGCTGGCTCTGCACACTTGTGGCGATTGGCATCTATAAATGAACTTTCACATATCCTGCTCACACCACAGGCATAACTTTTCAGACCATGCCCCAAACGCAATGCTGTTTCATTATGCACATGTTCATCTGTGAGTCGTTCAGTGCTGACTGGCAAACTGGTGATAAATCAAGTTATTTACATGTAGGTGTGAACCGCTCTCATATTATTATGAGCAGGGTTTATTTTTGCAAAACTGTGGTCCGGTGATGAAACACTAGAACTATGGGAAGAAACTACGGTAAATCAGCAAACAGATGTCTGCAAAAGCTTCACTGACAGCCAACCTATTCGGGTGGGCATTCCGGGTCATCCCAGTTTCCAGATGGACAGTTTTTGTTTTTTCATAGCAGAGGTGAGGAATCTGTTGCCCTCCAGAGATTATTGGACTCCAACATCCATCATCCCCTTCCAGTGGCCATGCTGGTTCAGGGTTGATGGACGTTAGAGTCCAGCCACATCTGAAGAGCCACAGATTCCCCATCCATGGTCTGTACCAGCAAAGAATCCTATTGCATCTTTAATGCATTGTGACAGCATATGTAAGTCATAGTTGCTACCAATGTTTTTAGCAAAACACACATAGACTCTGATTCCATGTATGTGTATTTTTATGGTTGCAAAAATTTGGGCATGTCTGGTTGCCACTGAGCATGCACAGGGTTTCTTTCCCCTAGGTAAGAGTGTGTGTGTGTGTGTGTGTGTGTGTGTGTGTGTGTGTGTGTTTAATGAGAATAAAACAATGGTACCCAGTAATACAGTAAGCCCACAACTTATGCAGGGTTTGTGTTCCTAAAGCCAAAATTCTGTATAGTCAAAACACATTGGGTTCAATGGTGGGTGGGATTGCCAAAGTCCTTTCCCCCAAAACCCTGTTGCCTTTCCACCACCTTTTTAATTTGTTTACATTTTTGCCTCACGTGTAAAGCTGAATGCGCACAAATTAAATGCACATAAGCAGTGGACTTACTTTAATAGCAAACATGATTTTTATAAATAAAATAAAACAAAATCTGATTTATGCTGGAAATGAAAAATGGTATTTCCATCCATTTGTTGGTGGACCTGTGAGTATACGGAATATTTTTGGAAGACAATATTGAAAGCAGTTAAGGTCATTGTGGAAGATTCTAGACCCCCAAAATACTCATATTAAAAGGAGCAGTGTCTAAAGAAAAAGAGGAAAGGTTTTTCTGAGACAGCAAGAATAACATGCTAAATATTAGGAGACTTCTCAGATAATACAGGTAACTTGCACAGGTAACATAATACAGGTAACTTGCATCTTATGCTTATCATAATTATGCGACCGCAACTTTACGCTAAAGAGCGGTTTTCCTGGGAATGCAGGGAGCAGCAGAACAAGAAGAAATGTGGATAACCCTGAGGTTAATACTGAATTTTAAATTCTTGCAACCCACCCTGGGACCTGCTGGTGAAGGGCAGATAACAAATACAACAATAAGCAACAACACCATTCAGGTATCATCTGTTGGCAACTCCACCTTTTTGTGAGAAAAGCAGTGATTTATTTAAGGATATCCAATTTGCAACTACCCTGAGCGCCACACTAGGCTTCAGTACTATTTGCATTTAACAAATTGCATAACCTGGGGCGGGTAGGGGGGGTGAGACGATAGCAGCAGGCATGAGAGGGACGATTTAATCCTTCCCTTCTGAGGTCTTATGGGGAATCTCTCTTCCAAAGGTGCCATAAGCTTGTGAGGCCAGATGCAATACCAATAACTTTCAAAGCACTGCTGATGCTATTTGCATTAAACAAACAAACAAACAAACAAACTGCATTATTAACACCAAGATGCATTTAATGTCCTGCCCAGTTTGATCTTGATGCACTCATATTTTGTACTCAGCTATTTGAAGTAGCCCTGGGGGAGCAGGAAAATGCTCATCATCACCATTCCAAATTATCCTCCTGGAAACCTTGGGTATTCCTGCATTGCAGGGGGTTAGACTATGTGGCCCTTGTGGTCCATTCCAACTGTACGATTCTATGATTCTATGTAGTTGTATCTTAGTAACTTTACCATAGATGATGTTACGTTGACAAGATCCACATTTGTGCACCAAGGAAGACTGTCTCAGATGCTGGTGCGAGTTATCCTTTGCCCAACTACAACTAAGAATTTATCAGTGGGGTGGGGGGTGGGGCTATTAAATATATACAGGTCTCTTTTCAACTCTCTTCCATTGCATCAACGCTATTGTTAACGCTAACCTAAAGCTTCTTACAGGCCTCATTCTATATTTTCCCAGGTTAAATAATGAGCTAAAAAGGACAAACAACCAATTTTCAGTTGTCCTGTTTAGCAAATGTAGCTTTTCAGTCCAGAAGAGGGCCACCTAACATTAAGTATCCCTTTGACTTGAAAGCTTATGCTGTGCTACACATGCCTCACAGCACCTCCTGACAGCAGACTAGAGCCACCAATTTTAGCCGCCATCACCATCAGATCATTTCCAGCTGCTAAACATCCAGAGCATTTCTACTGGAAGTGCAGGACAACTGCTGAATCACATCTTAGGTCCGCAACACAGGTGTGTGCATGGAATAGTCTTGCTTTCAAGCCCAGAGTTCTAGAGGAGTTCACTGCTGTTTCGAAGCCCTGAAACAAACGTGGACAAACGCTTTTAAAGACAACTGAATACGAGTCCCCTGGATCAGCCAACGAAATGATAACTCACCCAGACACACATTTATTTATTTTATCAATAACATAATCTTTATTAACGTACCATGGAATAGTTGAAAACCTGGACATTTAAAGTTCAATTATGTAACGTGTTCTAAATGTCAGTGCGGACAATTACAGTACACTATTTGGTATGAATTACAACACTGAATAGCTGCCAGGCTGAGTACATGGCAAAGAATAAAATGTAATGCATTGACATTTAGCTCCAAGGTTTTATATTATTAATTAACGTCCACACTTCTGCTGCGTTACAGGTTAATGAATATTAGCTTCTATCAGTGCATTGCTTGACCCTGCAGGGTCTAGTTTAATGTCCAACTGGGTTTCGTGCCCAGTAGTGCAAATGCAGTTGCCAAAGTAGAGCGAACAAAACCAAGCCCAATTCTTCATTAGCACCGCCTATATCTCACAGCTGCAAAAGAACTGCAAACAAGCACATGATAAATAACAAAATGTCAACATATTGCACAAAGAATAATTGCAGCTTTGACAACCTATTTGTGCTTTCAAGATCATCTCCCTCTGCAGCTCGGAGGGAACCAATTTAATTGCATGTTGCAGAAAGCCAATAGCTTTCCTCACGTGTAAATATGTACATCTACAGTTTTGTTAAAAGTAATGTAATCTGAGATTCGACATTGGTTATTCTGAAGGTGAGGTTTGTTCCACTCTAACCAAGGATGCTTTTATTGCAAGTGGCTCTTCTGGGTGAGGAAACAAAAGTAGCTTGGGAACAGCGAAGACAGACCATGGCTGATTTTGATTAATATATTGCCTTTTAAGCTCAATTCAAAAAGATGATCCCAATCTAAAAAAAAACCCAAATATTCCAGGTCCAGCAGATTCAGACATCACTTCCATGACCCACCATGCTCTCTTAAATACAACCCATGCCAAAATAAATGCCAAAGGGCATGCAGAGAGGATACTGGCACATAAGATGCAACTTTGGAATTGTCTTCCAGAGATCCACCAAAACCAAATCTGCACATTTTCTGAAAATAGATTAGAGTAATTAGCGTATTGTTACTCATTCCCCTATCCCTGGTACAGGGCAGACTGCGCCGGATAAATACACACACTGAAGCAATACATTGAGAATAACCAGTATGCCATGCTAGCAATGGGGACAGCTTGCCAGGCTCCTGTTATCATGCAGGGTGCTGTAGGCAAGGAAGCACACTGAACGAAGGGCATTTACATCCAATGACAGGAATCAAGAGGTGAGCTCCAACTGACATAAGTGGAAGAAGCGACATGACCCTGCTCCTTTTTGGACATGGGTGCCCAAACTTTTTTCAAAGAGGGACAGATCTGATGAAAGGAACCTGTGTGAGGCCTGACCCATAGTTGTTGAGCTTTTTTAAGAATTGAAGTTACTGGGCTTTTTTAAGGATTTTACCTCAGGACATATACTGCCACGGGGACCAAATTAAATCGACCGGCAGACCGGATTATGCCCCAGAGACGGACTTTGGACATGCCTGCTTTTGGACATCGGGATGGCATGCAAAGAAGTAGGTTGCATATCTCGTGACAACTCCTGCATGCCCCCCTGCCCAAACCACTGTGTGACTCTTGAAAAATGAAGTCAGAGCACTATTACTCCAGCAGGGCTCCCCACACAGAAAGAACATGAAGTAAAAGACAGCAAAAGGCTGGCCATGGAGTTGTAATAGTGCTCTGACTTCATTTGCACTCTCTGCAGCACTGCTAAGGGTAAAGGTAAAGGACCCCTGGACAGTTAAGTCCAGTCAGACTTGACTATGGGGTGCAGTGCTTATCTCGCTTCAGGCTGAGGGAGCCAGCATTTGTCCACAGACAGCTTTCTGGGTCATGTGGCCAGCATGACTAAACCACTGGGACACTGGGATGGAAACCAGAGCACGTAGAAATGCTGTTTACCTTCCCACCGGAGCGGTACCTATTTATCTACTTGCACTGGCATGCTTTCAAACTGCTAGGATGGCAGGAGCTGGGACAGAGCAATGGGAGCTCACCCAGTCACAGGGATTCAAACCACCGACCTTCTGATCAGCAAGCCCAAGAGGCTCAGTGGTTTAGACCACAGCGCCACCCATTCCCTTCAGGACATGCCTTCAGCAGCAGCAGACCTACAGGCATTTGCTAGTAGACTCAATAGACCTCACTTCTGAGTAGGCATGCATAGAATCACACTGTAAATTGAAAAGGAGACTATATGGCTATTATTCTGTAAGACTCACCCATGGAAGATGCTGCCTGTTAACTGCAGGACTATCTCACAAAAACACAACAGGGGCTTTCGACAGCTGATGATGTGGGAAGATGTAACATATAAAGGATGTGGCATCAGTTTGATTAGATGGAGGCACTCATCAGAAGGGCATTTCTATTGCAGTAAACCTCCATTTTAAAAAAAAAAGTAGGAATGATATGAAGCAATATCCCATCAAATTGCCAAGTATCATTCAGCCATTGAAAAGGCAGTTAAATCTCAGCTACCTAAGTTATTAGAGGAGCCTTGCAGAGATGGAGGTCCTGGAATATTTAACCTAACTGATTTTAAGGATCCCACTCTGGGATATAAAAGCACCGGCAATCAAGTACTTCTTCACATTTATGCAATCAAGTGCTTCTTCACATTTATGCTAGTCATCACTTCATTGCCCAAGAAGTACTATCATAATGTACAGGATGACTGAGCAAGCAAAGCAAGAGTTCATGTGAGTTTTAAAAAGGGGAAAACTCAGTCTAGCTGGACTAATGGAAAAAGACTGCAGAGAAAAAACACATTGGGTGGTATTCAACTACATTTTATTCATAGTAAGCCCACTGAAGTTTATGAACCTAACTTAGCCATATTCATTTATTTTAATGGCTCTACTCTGAGTAAAAGGTAGCTGAACATTGCCTACTGCCTACACCCATCCATGAAATTCAGGGAGTGTTTTGTTGAGCACTACATGGAGAAAAGAAAGTCAAATGCTAGTCTACTAAGAAACCAATTCATCAGTCTCCCTTAGGAAAGCAGAAATGTTTTAAGGGTCCGTTTAAAGTATGGAAGACAATGTGTTAAGGACTATGCAGTCCAACTGCTAGTCTGTTTAGGGGGAAATCAGCTTGGGTCCAAGTAGCAAAACAGGCTCCTTAGGCTGGTTCCATCATCATTACTTGAGTGAATATAATGAGCACAGCCTATAGCCTCAGTTTATATATGCATCCCTTCAGGAAACAGTGAAGGACACCCAGAAAGACACTCCTTCTACGGGTCATGTTTGATTTTCTCGGACTCTTTTTACATCTCTTTTATCCCTCTTGTTGTCTTGATTTTTCAGTTCATCCCTGGCTCTCACCTCACGTGTCTCTAAGATCCCACAGGAAACAGCACCTGAAACCCTCGTTTTACAGTGTCCTTTTCGCCACAGTGAAAAAGTATCCTATGTATGTACAGCCTATTTGGATAGCAACATAAAAAGCAAAGGCCTTCAGATACGAGGTGTGTGCTCCTCTAAGCAAAAGTCCAGCAAGTAAAATGCATGCAACATATTTCAGTGCCAATAGGCTGAGGGTTGATCTTTTCATCGGGTGAACATTCATTCATTCATTTATTTTGGGGTAACTAAAAAAAAATGCCTTGTTCCTCATCTTACATAAAATGTTCTTAAAAACGCAAAACAGATTTCCTAAAAGCAATATAAAACTATGATGGGTGTTTGCAGAAGGCCTTCATTTCTGCAAAATGTCAAGTACCCTTTTTCACAATGACATCCTTATCCACACATTTGTTCCCACACACACAGAATGGGAGATCAGATGGCGGGGGGGGAGTGTCTCTAAAATTCCACAGGAAGCAATATCTGAAGCCCTTGATTTCCAGAACTACGCATGCTGTTGTTCACCTGCTTTCTTCACAATAATGCACCAGTTACCATGATCATAGCTTGAACTTATTACGTGAACCTCGGGCACATTATCTTCAAGCAGAGAGCACAGCTCCCCTTCCCGAAAAACATGGTAATAGCGCATGAAGGCTTTTGTATCCTGACCACAAGCAACTCGGTCTCCCACAGCCACAGCCGCATCTACAATAGACTCACTGGAGCTTGCCGATGAAGTCCTTTTAAAGTGTTTGCCCGCAAAAGAATGACTATTGCTTGGCGGGATGTAGCCGTTGTTTACGTTTTCCACAGAGCTATCCAGGAATGACATTTCCTCATTTTTGCTTTCGACTAAAGCAGGTGGCTCACCATTGAAATCTCTCAGTGATCTTGAGGCCGCCAGCCATTCCAATCTTTTGCACGCCATATGCTTCATAAACACTTCATCATAACTATTTAGTTGCTGCTCTTTCAGCAATGGTCCTTGACAGCCTAAATCTACACTGCAGTGCCTTGATGGCTGAACATAGACGGCGTTGTTTGTCCATCCAGCTGTGCTCTTCAAAGGCTGCATCTTCTCATTCTGCTTCCCCAAGGCTGACTCATCCAGTGATCTGGAGGAAAACCAGGAACGAAAAGATCTCCCAAGAGCACTGTAAACTCGTTTCTCTTCCTCTTCAGAGATTTTCACACAACAGGCTTCAGCTAAGCAGCTGCCAGTCCTCTGGGGATGTTTCTGGTCAAGGGTAACAGGGTAGCTGTGGTTGGAACCCATTAGCTGGTCCGGGGGCACAGTCTGAGATGTTATGGCATGAGCTGCAAGCTCCCTCTTACACGCATCCTTGCTGCGTTCAGAAAGCAACCGGGAGCAGAGGGCTTTGTTCCATGGAACAAACACATCTTGCTTCTCAAAATGCCGATTCTTTTGTTCCATGGCCCACACGTAAATCATCATCTGGCCTCCAGGTACCAGCACCCTGGCCATTTCTTTTATTGCTTTGATTCGTCTTTGTTGTGTGGAGAAATGGTGAATCACTGGGGAGAGAAGCAAAACGATATTTTAACATTCATGGATGTGGGGATTCTGTGCTAAAAATATTAAAATACTGTGCCTTTTACATGTGTGTCAATGCAACTTTACAAGTGAGATTACAATTTTCACATTATTTTTGCACCTAATGAATAATTTCTATAATGATGAATTTAAACAAACGTTTTAGATATGATGTTAAAAGCTCAGCATCTCATACTCTTGCCCTGTAGGCTCTATCTCATGCAAGGCTAAAAGGAGCATGGGGAGTGGTCTGAAAAACATCCAACCATCTAGTCTAGGCACAGGTTCTTGGCTGCTGTGTCACAAGGCTTGATCCTCAGCCTATGTTAATGACACACCAACTAGCCATGTTTATCTGCAACACACCCAGGAACATGATCTCTTTCCCCTGCTAGTGTATCAAGTCAAAGCCTCTCTCTTCATTGCTCCCCAAAACAAAATGAATTATTCTGTGCTGTTCAGGTACGAGGGGGGAATTGCACAGATGTCAGAAAAAATAATTTACTGTTGCAGAAATTTTCAGATTCAATCCATGGCACTTCCAGTTAAAAGGATTAGATCCCCTCTATTGTTTGTACTGATTTTAGAAGTAGTTGCTAGGAGAGTAAGAGAAAACATAGATGTAAAAGGGGTAAGGGTGGAACATCAAACATATAAAATAAAAGTGTTTGCAGACGATGTGGTTTTAACACTGGAAGACCTGAGGAGTAGTGTAACTAAGTTTCTATGCAAACTCATGCACCCTTCTGTATCCTCCATCCACAGAAGGAAGAGCCATTATCAGAGTTCTGGGACACATTCCAGCCAGGGAAAAACACTTGGGGGGTGAAAAAGGACTGGTAAGGGCTGTGGCCTGGAGACAGGGGGTGTGGCCTGGGGAGAGGTCCAAGGGCCAGATAAAAAAGCCTAGGGGCCATATTCAACCTCTGGACTTGAGGTTCCCCATCCCTGCTCTATCCTATTCTTCATATTCTGGACAAAGTGAGCAAACAGCAGTGCAGAAGCACACATTGTCTAGTGAACATATTTTACTTCCCCCCCCCCCAAACATCCAGACTCTCTTACCTCCCACAGAAATGATCGCGTTGAAGCACTGGCCCCGGAAAGGAAGATTAAGGTTATCACAGATCATCACTTCGCAACCGTTATTTCTTGCAATCTCTACCAAAGAACCGCAGTAATCACATCCAAGATTATACACCTGGCTATTGACACCAAGGTATTTTCCAGTCCCACAACCTTTAAAAAAACACACACAAACACCAAACATGGTTACAGAGGGACAAAACAATCTCTATTGTTCAAGTGTTCAGCTGACATTGGAGCAGAGTAAAACTGTGTGTTCTCAGAGTGAATATGGACCACTGAAACAGACAAATACAGTGGTACCTCAGTTTTCAAACGTAATCCATTCTGGAAGCCTGTTCGAGTTCCAAAACGTTTGAAAACCGAAACCTCAATAGCCAACAGCTAGGCCTCGGGATCTTGCATTCAGCGGAAGCTGCGTGGCACATTCAACTTCCGAGGCATGTTCGAAAACAGAGGCATTTACTTCGGGGTTTACGGCGTTCGAAAACTGAAATGTTCGACAACAGAGACGTTCGGAAACCGAGGTACCACTGTTATCATTTCTTACAAGAATCGCCAGTAAAGTTAGGTTTAGATTGCTAACATCATGTTAATGCTAAAGCTGTCTTCTTCAATCCACCTTGCACTTTCAACTTTAGGGGGACCCAGCATCTATCCACAGAAGCAGCTGGAGTCAATTCCTTACCTATAGCTCTCTTCATTCTAGTGACATTCTATGTAAACTGCAACCACATTACTACAAGTGTCATTCTGAAGGATACTTCAAAGCTACGTGGACAAATAACTGGATTTTAATATGACGTGTATGACATTCTGCCCTAATCCAGCTCTAGTCATGGATTATGACTGGGATGGATAGGATGTAGATGAGCATCCCTATCTGAACTCAGACATGCATCCCAGTCCATCCTATGGATTGGGATACAGATGTGCATTCAGATTAACATTAACAATAATATGTCCACATGAAGCCTCCATCACATATCTTTGTTGCTGGATTGCAGCATTCTTCCATAAAAATTACTGCTACTCATATGTCAAGCTTTAGGAGTGATTACAAAATGTATCTCTTTCCTGTGCGTAGTTTCAAATCCATAGCCAAGAAAAAGTACCACTCTAATGCAAAACCATTCAAAGAAACCTTTTCAAAAAAAGTTTGAAGACTGCTCCAGGCAGTCAGAAGGCGAGTGATAAAGAAAAACTCCTGCCAATTTTCAGCTGGAGAGATGCAGGGAAGCAGCAAAAGGGACTAGTTTACTATAAGGAATTCAGATGAAATGCTTCCAATTGCCTTAAAAAACAGCCCTAAGTTTTTCTGACCTGCTAATAGTGTTAACCAAAAAACTGTTTCCCAGTCACTACAGAATGACAATGGAGCATCTTAAATAGTAAGAAAGCAAACGTTCAAAACAGAAGCCTTCATACTTCTTCAAGCATACTGTACTATTCAAAAACGAAGGCTGCAATCCATCACACAGTAGTAGTCATTGTCATAGTAAGATGATGATATAGTATTTGGCATTTATAGAGCACTTTGGGGGATATTCAGTCTGTTTCAAATGTTTTCATAGTTGTTCAGTTTGCTTAGTGCTAGGTAGGGGTGAGATATTGGGGTGGAAGACAAGACAGCTCAGCTAACAGGGAGGATGGCTGGACAGGTATAAGCTACCCATCATTCTCCGAGCCTGGGATTTCCTGGTTGCTATGTCACCAATCCATCAGTTCTGAAACTGCAGCGGTGTTCCAGGTCAGTAACCGGCAACCATCTTCCATCCAAAATTTAATCCTAGAAAGGGATGGCCAAACACCACCTGGCTCACCTCAAACCCAATCTGAATTTTGCAAGAATCCCCACATGGTTTCGCCCACCCCACTTCAAAAGCAAAGAAAAAACTTACCATTGCAAGGAGGTAACCAGAAACAGGAAGCAGCCAGGCTACTGGTCAACAGGCCGGCCAGCCCACCCGTTCAGCTACAGAAATTAACTGATGCTTCTGGGCACGCTCACAGAAATTTATCCATTAACATCACCAGAGAGTGGTGTGTGTAAAAGAAATGCTTGCATCGAGCTGTTCCCTTCATCAAAGTGAACACAAAGATATTGTGGACTCTCCTCACCACATCAGAGCTCAGGGCTGGAGTTTATGTAACTTGTGGTGGATAAATAAACAAACATATAGTCTCTCCCCCTCCCTCCTTTTTATTGGACTCGAAATTTAATACAGTGGTGCCCCGCAAGACGAATGCCTCACAAGACGGAAAACCCGCTAGACGAAAGGGTTTTCCGTTTTTGAGTTGCTTCGCAGGACGAATTTCCCTATGGGCTTGCTTCGCAAGACGAAAATGTCTTGCAAGTCTTGAGATTTTTTTTTCGCTTTTCGCCCCCTTTATCTAATCTGCTAAGCCTTTAATAGCCTTTAATAGCCTTTTAGCAGCTAATCCGCTAAGCCTTTAATAGCCGCTAAACCGCTAATAGCGCTAATCCGTTAAGCTGCTAATAGGGTTGCTTCGCAAGACGAAAAAACCGCTAGACGAAGACTCTCGCGGAACGGATTAATTTCGTCTTGCGAGGCACCACTGTAGATATACAGTGGTACCTCGGGTTAAGTACTTAATTTGTTCCGGAGGTCCGTTCTTAACCTGAAACTGTTCTTAACCTGAAGCACCACTTTAGCTAATGGGGCCTCCCGCTGCTGCTGCTGCCGTGCCGCCAGAGAACAATTTCTGTTCTCATCCTGAAGCAAAGTTTTTAACCTGAGGTACTATTTCTGGGTTAGCGGAGTCTGTAACCTGAAGCGTATGTAACCTGAAGCGTATGTAACCCGAGGTACCACTGTATGGCAAATCCAAACTTAGTAGTAATGTGTACATAACAGGATGTAAAATCATCTCCTCGTATCTTCTTAAAGTTATAAGGATTCTTCATGCTGTCTGTCTATCAGTATACACATACATGCACACATGCACACAAACATAGACCTACCTATATCAGCAATGAGGCTGCCTGGCTTTTGCTCTAGAAGAAACTGTCGGACGCGAGGCCACGCTTTGCCCTGCAGATCATTGAAATAGGCAGCTGTGCTTTCATAGACGTTATGCACATGTTTCTTTTCTAGCTGGGAAGCCTCATGTTCCATCCTTCAAGAAACAAACAGACCAAACATGCACTGAACAACATGTTCCCGAGTTAAATTCCAAAAAAAGAGCAGCCATGAATAGAGGTCCAATCTCAACATACAGCAGCAGAACAGGCTCTTGCGAGAACTCCCCTTTGAAAAGTGGCAAGGGAAGGGAGTTCCCAACTTTTCCAAGCAACATCTCCCACCCACCCCAACCATTTCTGCATACAAAAATGCATTCTTCATTTGCCTCCCAACATCTTACTTTGGGTGGAACGCTGCTTGTTCTCTCCTCTCAGTCACCCTGGTAAGCAGACCTCCCTTTCTTCTCTACAAGTTCTGCCTGCTAATAGCCTCTTGCAGCAGAGCGTCGTGCTAAAACCAAATCACTCCAGGAGGCAACATATGCAACCCACCCAATGCACCACAACGTCTCCATTTGCTACTATTGTGCTCATTTCCTATGGTGGCATAGTTGTCCCTGTTTCTATGTAAGTCAGGCATCCACACTGCTGCTCTAAGATACCTACATTCCAGCCACAAACAGGGGAATCCCCGCTTAAGTGGGGGCTCCATTCTGGGCTGCTGCACGTGTCATCAGGATGTGCAAAAGCAGGGATTCCTCCATTCCACCCTTGCCCTCTTTTGGGTGGGGATTTCCCTGTACAGTCACTTGGACTGTTTGATTAGGAGCTACTTTGAAGACACTGGTGTGGACAACTCTCCTAGTTGCTACTTCCCACTGCCTCTCCTCCCATCCATTTGCAGTCCCGAAGTGACCTCTCTGGGACTCCACTCCAGATTTGTGTAGTGTTTACTCCTTAGCCTTTTCTGCTCCTGAAGATGTCCTGTAAGGCAGCGGGTATGGATGGTTCTTCGGGGTTTACTCCCAAAGCTTTTCTCACAAATGAGTGTAGCTGCAAGGCAGCAGAGTCAGAGATTTCCTTCTCCTAGATGGGCTACTTTCCCAGGTTGACAAACCCTATTTGCCCCTCACTTCCCTTTACACCCCATGCAGAAATGGCCTTCTTGACCATTGGACCCACTACTGGTCTTGTCCATTGAGTCCACCAGAGTCTGTCTTTGCATGCAGGGGAAATCCCTAACTAAGGTGTAGCTGTTTCTTTTTTTCATCTATTCTCCAAGAATAAGCTGAGCAAATTTAAGTTTATTTCATGGAGCCTGGGGAGTTTAAATGCCAAAGTGCCAGGGCTGCAAATACTTAACTGGAGCTTTCTTTCAGTGTTAAAAAAGGCCAAGGCTACAATTGCCGCTTTACCCGAGAAAAACCAAAAGCATGAAAAAGCCACTACCTTTCTTTGGCCAGAGAAAGCTAAAGCTTGTTTACCCAATCGTCTCCAAGGAATCCAACAATACATAAAGAAACACAGGGGAGGGTGTAGCTTTCAGGAATTATTCAGAAGCACTAAAGCATATATCATGTCTTAATTTGCAGAGACCTCCACAGACTGAATGCCTGGAACCATATATTTTTAAAACTCCTGTACTATCTCCACTGCTGCTTTTATAGTCCATTAAGTGTTACAGTTTAAACTAGCACAACCAGCAGAAATATTTGATTGCTAAGGATCCCCTAAGCAAGTTTGCAAGACTCTTGGGCTGGGGTATTGTTTAGGAGTGAGGGAATTCTGGGGGTGTTATTGATATTAAATTTTTGTATCTTATTGATCTTATGATTTATGTAGAAATTGTTCAATTTGGTTGTGCTTTTTGATCCTTTATTTATTGTTTATGACTGCTTGTGTTATGCTTGTAATTAGGTTTTTTTTAATGTAAAGCTGCTTTGAGCATGGTGGTAACTATGGAAAGGCAGCATACAAATAAAATTAACGGCCTAAGTCCAGTATACCTGAAGGAGCGTCTCCACCCCATCGTTCTGCCCAGACACTCAGATCCAGCACCAAGGGCCTTCTGGCAGTTCCCTCACTGCGAGAGGCCAAGTTACAGGGAACCAGGCAGAGGGACTTCTCGGTAGTGGCACCTGCCCTGTGGAACACTCTCCCACCAGATGTCAAAGAGAAAAATAACTATCAAACTTTTAGAAGACATCTGAAGGCAGCCCTGATTAGGGAAGCTTTTAATGTTTAATAGGTTATTGTATTTTAGTGTTTTGTTGGAAGCCGCCCAGAGTGGCCAGCCAGATGGGCAGGGTAGAAATAAATTATTATTATTATTATTATTATTATTGCTTAGAAGCAAATCTCACTGATTTCAATGGGACTTATTCCCAAAAAAGTATGTAGGACTGAAGTCTTCTGTCTGGTTCCCTGTATTTTCACTTTTTGCAGTGAGGGAACTGCCAGAAGGCCCTCAGAGTTGAACCTCCAGACTGAACGATGGGGATGGAGACACTCCTACAGGTATACAGGACCAAGGTAGTTTAGAGCCTTAAAGGTCAACACCAACACTTTGAATTATGCTTGGAAATGTACTGGTAGCCAATGTAGATCCTTTAGGACTGGTGATATATGGTCTCGGTGGCGGCTCCCAGTCACCAGTCTGGCAGCCGCATTCTGGATTAATTGTAGTTTCCAAGTCTCCTTCAAAGGTAGTGAGGCATCTGATCAAGATCTGCTTTGAGCTTAAAAAATATATTTGTAAATATTTATATCTCTCATGCCAGGGAGAGACCAGCTGAATACTCTGGCAGCTGTTCAAGGGCCCCACTGCTATAAATAGAAGTATTTCAGGGTTGTAAAAAGTATTTCAGGGTTGTAAAAGGAAATTACAGGCTGAGAGCAAAAAGGTCACACTGACCATACAAATTACAGAATACAATCAAGCTGCAAAAACACAATTAAGAGCTGGTAAATAGTGAAATTTATTGTTTAACAGAAGACTCGAGCCATAAGGTTAAAGGTTAAATTGAAGAGTTTGCTTTTAGAAACAGCAGCTGGATAGGGAAAAAGGCTTCTCTCCAAGCTGTTTTGAAGCTTCAGAGAATTTAGAGAACTTAGAGAACTTAGCTTTTACTAAGTTCCTTTTAATTTGAAAAGGCCTTTCCTTCTAAAAATCTATCTATGTTATGTATGAAATATATTGGCTTAAATGTAATTATGCAAAGGATTTAGAAAGTAAGAAATGTTAGATTCTTATGTTAGATTCTTATTATGGTGGGTGAGAAGGTGAACTCAACCCTACAGTTTTCACATTCAGTGCAACTGTAAACCACTTAAATTTTCCTGTGGCCAAGTCTGCTTGATCTCAACAAGCTCAGTAAGAATAAGCCTTCATAAGTGGTTCGTAAATAAAACGAGTTCTTTCCACTGTTTTGGAACCCTTGAACAAGAATAGAAAGCGCATAACTGCAAACCACTTTACAAAATTGCCAGCTTCTGCCAATAATGCATTATACTATCTTGGCTGAAGGTTAAAGTTTTCAAGCAAAGCCCAACGTCAACACAAACTTGATCCAAGAGCGTACACTGTAATTTCTAGAAGAGGGGCAACAGATCTCTTTGGGAAGTATGGGAAGCCTCAGTTGATCCTGATCAACTTCAGACTGCGATGAAGGACAATTGATGAAAGGCTTTGAAGGAGAGTATGACAAAATTATTGGAGAATCTCAGATATAAATTACAACAAAGTTCCTCAACTACAAATTGCATGACCAAAAGCTACACAGAATTAAAGCAACAGAAGCTTAGAACTCAGTCTTCAGAACTAGGTGGCTTGGACCTCCCTGAAGATCAGATGTGACACATGATATTCATGAACTGGTTCTTCTAAGATACTTTTTTAAAGCAACTGCAGGAGGACCAATTTAGATTTGGACCATAGTGCTGGGGAGGCAAGGTTTAACCCTTCTCCCCTGGTATGGTTGGGACCAGTCAAAACTGAAAATTGGCTACCTCTTGTCAAGTGTAGGTAGCAACTTAACGTTTTTAACGCATTATGGAGAATGGGGAACCTACAAGCTTCTAGATGTTGAATTCCAGCTCCCACCATCGCTGACCATGCAACTGGGGCTGTCATTCAGTATATTCTGATTTTATTCTGTGAACTGCCCTGAGACCTGCAGGTGTAGGGCAGTATAATAATAATAATAATAATAATAATAATAATAATAATAATAACAGACACCAAGTTGGCACAGTTTGTTCTACACTACCATCCAAGTAGAGTAATTTTGGCTTAGCTCAGCAGCCAGTCAATATTCTTCCTCCCCTCGCCTCTCAGTACATGACAGAAGACTCAAGAAAGGGAGGAAACTGGTTCCTCATATCAGGCAGGGCTCTCTGCGGCAGAAAAAAGCAGGGCAAATTTATGGCACAAGAGGGTGGCAGGGAGTTTGGTTGTCTCTGTCACATTACACTTTGGAGCGGGCAGAACCTTCTAATGTTTCCAAAGCTCAGAACAGTGTAAGAGATCTTCCCCAACAGAGAACTTGGGGCAGGACGGTGTGCTTCTGAGCAGCATCTGACAATGTCAAATGGCATGGGGCGCTTGCCTTCAGCAAACTGGCAAGCAGGGGTGAAAGAAGGCTAACCAACCCCCGGGGCGGGGCAAACCGCCGGCTGCGCACGCGTTGCGCCGCTACGTACAATGCATGTGTGGCACTGCTACGTACGACGCATGCGTGGCGTCGCTATGTAGGAGGATGAGGAGTTTGGATTCGATATCCCGCTTTATCACTACCTGAAGGAGTCTCAAAGCGGCTAACATTCTCCTTTCCCTTCCTCCCCCACAACAAACACTCTGTGAGGTGAGTGGGACTGAGAGACTTCAGAGAAGTGTGACTAGCCCAAGGTCACCCAGCAGCTGCATGTGGAGGAGAGGAGACACGATCCTGGTTCCCCAGATTACGAGACTACCGCTCTTAACCACTACACCACACTGGTGTAGGGTGTAGGGCGCATGTGCAGCGTCAATACGTACAGCGCATGCGTGTGACACCACACATGAGTTGTACGTAGCGGTTTGCCGCTGGCGCCACCCGAGCGCCGTACAGATGGCGGTGGGATCCCTCCGTCACTGCTACAGTCATCTATACAGTGCCT